CTATTTCTTCTTGACTCCGTTTTGATAATTTGTTTCATTCAGATAATTTGCCCATTTATCTAAGTCAAACATGGCAGTTTTTTAAAATATATATATAAAGGGCCAAATAGTAAATATTTTAGGCTTTTCAGGCCATATGGTCTCTGTTGTGATTGCTCAGTTCTTTGTCTAACACACAACAGCCACAGACAATACATGAACAATGGAGCATGGTTTTTTCTAATAAAACTTCATTTACAAAAGAGATGGTAAGCTGATTTGGTCCATAGGCTGTAGTTTGTTGATCCCTGACTTAAGTTGTTAAAGTTTATGATCATAAGTTGTTCAGAACGTTCCCATTTAGTTGTCTGTAGGATCTGTAGTGAGCCTGTATTTCTTTCATGATTTTGGTCATTTTTGTCTTCATTTCTTGATCAGTTTGGTGAGAGTCTTATTGATTCTATTAATATTTTCAAAGGAACAACTTTTAGTTTTAGTATTCTCTTTTTGTCTGTTTTCTTTCTCTTTTTTTTTGGTCCACAAAGCATGTGGGATCTTAGTTCCTCGACCAGGGGTTGAATCTGTGGCCCCTGCAGTGGAAGCATGGTGTCCCAACCACTGAACCATCAGGGAATTCCCCATTTATTCTGTTTCATTGCTTTTTGTTCTTATTATTAATTCCCTTCACTTAGTTTGGGTTGAATTTTCTCCTTTTTTTCTAGCTTCTTACTAAGTTGGAACCTTTGGTGATTGATTTGACCATCCCTGTTATTTATGCATTCAAAATTAGAAGTTTTCTTCTAAACCCTGCTCTGTTTTATTTATTTATTTTTGGTTGCTCTGGGTCTTTATTGCTGAGTGGGGGCTATTGTCTAGTTGTGGTGTGTGGGCTTCAGGAGTTGCAGCTTGAGGGTTCCAGAGCACAGGCTCAGTAGTCATGGCTCACAGGCTTGCTTGCCCCCTGGCGTGTGGGGTCTTCCCGGACTAGGGACCAAACCTGTGTCCTCTGCAGGGGCAGGTGGGTTCTTCCAGTGAGGAAGCGCTAAGCCCTGCTTTAAATGCATCTACTGTATTTGATGTGTTTTCATTTTCATTCAGTTCAAAATACCTTCTACTTTCCATTTTGATTCCTTCCTTAGCCTGTAGGTTATTTAGAAGTATGCTTTAAAGTTTCCAAATATTTGGGAATTTTTCCAGATATTTTTATGTTATTGAGTTATAGATTAGTTCTGTTGTGGTCAGTGAACATTCTCTATATGCTTTCATTCCATGTAAACTCATTGAATCTTGTGTTGCATTCCAGCATATGGTCTGTTTACTTGAATAATACATTTGCAGTGTTGTGCAGCTACCATCATTCTTAATTTCCAGAACTTTTGAATGACCTGAAACAGAAACTCTGTCCATTCAACACTATTTCCTTATACCAGCTGCCCCAACCCCTGCTTTCTATGTCTGAATTTACCTATTATGTAAAAGGAAATCATACATGTGTCCTTTTATTTGATACATTTCTGGCATATGTCAGGATTTCATTCCTTTGTATGGCTGAATATTCCATTGTGTATGTATATGTACCACATCTTATTTCTTCATCTGTCCATTGGCATTGGGCACTGGAGTTGTTTCTGCTTTGTAGCAATTGTGAACAGTTTTTCTGTGAACATTGGTGTTCAAATAGCTGAGTCCCGGCCTCCAGTTCTTCTGTTTATACAGCCGGAAGTGGAGCACGCCTTTGGTTTCACGCTGCATGGCTGGCAGAGTGACGTTTACTCTGCACTTGAGTGCACTGCCCCATGGCGCGGAAGCTGGAGACATGTCAGTCTTTCTGTCTGCAGAGCCAGATGCTGTGCACCGGCTGTCGCCTCACGGGACGCCTAGATGACCACTCAGGCTCACAGGGTCGGCAGCGTCGTGTTTCAGGTCTGCTGGAGAGTCTCTGGCCTCAGGCTGCTCCAGACGCCTCTCCCTGCCACGGCCCCCAGTCACGGGGCTCCCACCATTCTTCCCTCTCATGTCAGGCACCTGTAAACAGACCATCAGCTTGCCTTGGTTCGTGGGGACACGTGTGTGCACCCGTGGCCGTCCAGAGCCTGCGCACCTGTTCTTCTTAGGCCGAGCGTCCCAACGCTGCCCTCTCCAAATCCCACTTCCAGTATTCTGGTTTGGACACTGCTGAATTGTCAATCCTTCGTTTCCAGACCACACGGGAATCATGAGGCTCGCATGGCTGTGGGCGGCGGGGCGTCGAGCCTGGAACCTGGCCGCTGGGAAGGTGTGGTGCTCAGGCCTCTGGAAGCCGTCCTTTCTCCTCTTAGCTGAGAGAGGGCTGGGCTTTTTCCCCTGTGTTCTGTGTGGCTCGTGGGATCTTAGTTCCCCAACCAAGGATGGAACCCAGGCCCTCGGCAGTGAGAGTGGCCAGGGCTGGCGTCTATCCTTGGTTCTCCGAGACTCTTGACATGCAGGTGCCTCCAGTTGCCTAACTTCTTTCATTTGGCCGTCTAGACTTCTCATACCTTGCTGTGAGTTGGGCTTTAGATTTTCTTAGGGGTGGGTGGCTGATGGAAAGGCAGTGGAGGAGGGAGCTTTGGGGCTCCCCTGGTTTCGGTAAGGGACCCTTCCAGATTTTCCAGCCCCCACAACACTGCTGCTGAGCGTGCAGCCCCTTCCTCACATGGTCCAAATGGCCTCCAGTACGTGCTCTGGCCCTGGGCCAAGGCAGCTGCCAGCATTACGTATACACGTGTGCCAGCATCCTGGGCTCATCGTCCCTCACAGGATAGAGGCTGGGCAGCTGTAGCTAAGCCAAAGGAAATGTCACGTTTATAGGTCACAGCTTTGAAAGGGCTTCACTTTCCTGTGGTTCTACTGCTGAGGGGAGTCTGAGAAAGGACTCAGATCTCACGGGTGGGTCAGAAGGGCAGCTGAGGCCAGAAGGTGAGCAGGACTTAGCGCCCCCAGCAAGAAAGAGGGCTGGGGAGCCAGAGAGGAGACTCATTACAAAGCCACAGCGGGTAGGATGTTGTAGGGACTGGTGGGACGGAGTCAGAAGTCTTGACGGGCTCACATGTATGTTGTCGTTCTGTCATTAAGTCGTGTCCGACTCTTTGTGACCCTGTGAACTGCAGCATGCCAGGCTTCCCTGTCCTTTACTGTCTCCCGGAGTTTGCTCAAACTCATGTCCATTGAATCACATGTATGTATAGGAACTTAATTTATTACCAAAGTGGCACTGTAGAACAACATGGAGAGAAGCAACTTTTAAGTAATGGTGCTGGGACAATTGGATATAAATACAGAATTAAAAGGGGCTTCCCTGGTGGCTCAGATGGTAAAGAATCTGCCTGCAGTGAAGGAGACCTGGGTTCAGTACCTGAGTCAGGAAGATCCCCTGGAGAAGGGAAGGGCAACCCACTCCAGTGTTCTTGCTGGAAAACCCCACAGACAGAGGAGCCTGGTAGGCTACAGCCCATGGGGCTGCAAAGAGTTGGACACGATGGAGTGACTAACACTATCACTTTCATGGAACAAACGTGAAATTGGAGCCTGTAGTAGTTAAATACTGATGTCCAACAGTTGCCCTCAGACACAGCGCTTCTCTCCCACATCTGCAGGCTTGACTCGGAGGAAGGGTCTGCTTCCGGGTGGCGGGCTTCCCCTGAGTGAGTAGCCTGGAGGAGAGCAGGGGTGCGGTCAGGGCGCCTTTCACACTCTGACCATGGGCATTGAGCAAGTGCGGAAGTGCCACCACCCCCACTAAAGGTGGGGGGAGGACTAGGTCTACCTTTTGAAGGGAGGCGTGTCGGTTACTCTGCAGGCATATTTTACAACTCCACAGATTTCCTTCTTCACACCAGACACAAACATTAGCTCCAGGTGGACTGCAGAACTAAATGTGATGCAGACTAGCCTCCCTTTAGAAGATAATATAGGAGACTTGTCTTCAGAAAGATGTCTCATTCCATTAATACTCAGACAGCTGCAAACTGAGCACTGCGCAAAGAGTGACAAAAAGAATAAAACCAACTGGACTGTTTCCCCTTCGCTGCTGGGAGGAGAAACTGGTACACCTTTGGAGAGCAGTGGTAGTGTCTGTTGACTCACGTCACAGCCTGTGGTTGGCGGCTGCACGCCAGTGTCAGTGGATAGGGTGTTCACAGGCCCACACCCATCAGAGTGTGCCCTGGGCTGTGCAGACAGGCTCCTCTTGGGCTGTTACTCAGCCAAAGGGAGAAAGCCTGGAGCTATACGCTTTGGAGTGGGTGAATCCCACACAGTGGGGGTGAGGCAGCCCAGAGCACGGCGCACGGCTCCATATGGAACTCCGGCCTGTCAACACCAGATTGAGCTCAGGAGGGGCGTGGAGGGTGTTGGCATGAAGAAAGGCGAGGTGGTGGTCACTACATGGAGGAGTGTAAGAGGGCTCTGAGCTGCTTGGTGCCATCCTGATGGGGTGGAGCTCACATGGGTTTGCATCTCCATTTTTTATGCATTGTGATTTTTGCACTTTCAGGACTTGTATTACTGATTTAAAACAACCAGTTATTTTATCAGGGAAATGGATTTATTTCAGAGGAGCAAACAACTGCAAATCAGGACCTGTAGCCCATGGGGAACCACAGGCAAGCATAGAGGACACAGGAGAGGAAACTTAAGGAGGAGAAGGGGGGTGTGAGGAGCTGTCAGGGACAGAGAGCCCTTTGGAGGAAACTGAGTGTGGTGCTTCTCACTGGCTGCGCTGTTGCCAGATGGGGAGAAAAGCTGCTTTTGTCCCGCCAGGTAGTGTTGCTGCAGTGACCTTGCCCCTGGGGGACCCGCAGTTGCAGTGACAGGCTGTGAGAGTGCTCCCTTCTGGCTGCTGGATTCTCTCTTATTTCATTTGCTTTATTTTTATTTGTCTTTTTGGCCCCGCCCGATGACTTGTGGGATCTTAGCTCCCCAACCAGGGATCAAGCCTGGGCCCCATGCAGTGGAAGTGTGGAGTCCTAACCACTGCGGAGATCCCCTGCCTGGATTTGTAAATGAGGTTTCTGTTTATTCATTTTCATAGTATCACACTTCACAACTAAGAGGGCACCCCGATACCCTGCGGGAGGCTGTGTGGAAAAGCTCATCCCGGGTACAGGCCCGATAGTGGGGCAATGGGCAGGGCCGCTGCGGGCCGGGCTGGGAGCGGGCCTGGCCTGGGATTCGATGGGCTGGCTGAGCTGCACGGGCCTCACGGGGCCAGCAGGGCTTTTGGACCATTTCAGGCGAGGGGTGACTGGGTTGAGGCTTGTGTTTTCAATGCCCCAGGGCTGAGTGTGGAGAGAGCTGGACCCCTGACCAGGGGCAGGGCAGCAGGCAGGGGCCCGTGAGGTGCAGGCCCAGAGGGGCTGGGGCAGGAGCGGGCTGGAGGGAGCGGCCTGGGCTGGCACCCCAGCTTCACCTTCAGTGTGGTCACTGCCCCTCCCGGAGGTGAGGGCCGGCCATGCCCTGTGCCTCCCTACACCTGCCTGCCTGCCCCCCCGCCCTCAGACCCGCCAGGAGTCTTTCTCTGGGCCTCTGTGCCCACACTTCACTTGGCCTGGGTGCTCGCTCCTTCCTTCCTGGAGGTGGGCAGCGGGTGGCTGTGTGGGTCACCCCGCCCGTCCCTCAGAGGTCCGCCTGGGGGGAGCGGCGGCTGTGGCGCTGTGGGTGGTGGCTGTGGGATGAAGGGGCAGGCGCAGCGGGAGGCCCCGCCGCGGGGTCCGTCACCGTTTGCTCCCTGGTCTACAGCCTGTCTCCTCCTCAGGTCCCCCGGAGGACAGAACACTGCAGTTGTGCTGAGACCTGTCTCATTCATCGAGCCGACTGTGCTTTTGGCATCAGGTCTCCGTGGGCCCGGCTTCACCAGTCACGTGTGGACGCCCAGCTTGGGCGGGGGTGAAGGTGAGAATCTCCTCGCGCCGTGGGCCGGCCCGCCGCGTTGAGTGAGACAGCCTGCCCTGCCGTGGGGCACTGTCGTAGCCGAGCGTCTGTTTCTGGACTCCCTTCTGTCCCCTGGCTCCGTTCTCTAAGTACTTCGTGTTGTCCTCTTTTACGGTTTCACTGACAAGTCTTGCCTTTTGGCATTCCCTGTTAAATGGAGAATTGTTTGAGTTTCAAATAGACCTAGTGGGATTTTAACTGGGATTGCATTGAGTCTTGGGTAAATTTGGGGAGAAACGGCATCATTATGGTTCATAGTCTTTGATCCCTACGTGTGGTCTGTCCCTTTTGGTTGTTCTCTTGTGAACTCTAAGAAGTTTCGGTGGTCTTCTTTGTGGAGGTCTTGCACATCTTTTATTAGATTTATTCATACACATTGACACTTTTGGACATAAATAGCGTCGTTACAATTTTATCTTCTAACTGTTGCTGGCATTTACAAATATAGTTTATTTTTGTACGTTAGCCTAGTATCTGTCACTATTGCTGTGTTCTCATATTCTCATAGTTTTTTAGGACTTTGCAGGTTTTTATCGTACACAATATGTCATTTTCAAATACTGAGTTTTTTCCTCCCCTTTCTGTTCTTTTATATACACGTGTATGTGTGTATTTTGGCTGCAGCATCTGGCTTGTGGAATCTTAGTTCTGCAACCAGTGATTGAACCTGGGCCCCATCAGTGAAAGCACCGAGTCCTAACCACTGGACTGTCAGGGATGTCCCTCACCCTGCCTATTCTTACTGCTTTTATTGCTTTTTCTTGCCCTGTTGCGTTGGCTGGAACCTTCAATACAGTATGAACAGAGCTAGTGGTAGCAAGCATCCTTGTCTCCTCCAGTGGGATTTGTTGTTTCTTGAATTATGTTGAGATCATCACTCTGCTGATAAGAAGGGGCTGGAGCAGGGAGCTGGTGCTGGGAGCCCGGGTCCTGGGTCCTCCCCAGGGTGCTGGAGGCCCGGGGGTGGGGGGCCTTTGAGGCCTGGGGAGGCCCTGTGGTGGGCTCTGTGGTTGCTGGCTTTTTCATGGAGGTGGATGTCCTCTTCTGATGGCTTCTGTCTTGTCAGGAAACATGTCAGCAGCTGAATGTGAGGATGAGGAAGAAGGGAGTGGAAGGCTTTGGGGCTGTCAAGTCTGAGTGTGGTCTTCAGTCAGCAGCTTCGCTGGTACATTCCACCTCGAAGCCATTGTGTTGGGCCAGGCAAGACTTTCCCACAAGCTCAGGGCCTGGGAGCCTGTGAGGCTGAGCTCGAAGCTGCTGTTTGAGGACAAGACAGGCTGGGGCTCTGGGGTGCTGCGGTCAGGAGTGAGCTGGGAGAGGGTGGTGGCAGAGAACCCGGCCGTGGAACTGAAATGCCAGGGCGGGTTTGGGGGAGTTCCTGGAGGTGATGGAGTCCAGGGTACTGCTGAGGCTGAGGATGAGGTCATCACTGAGGAGGGGCAGGGGCTGAAGGGTAGTCCACGGGGATATTGAGACCACCAGGCATTTGGACCTGACACAGCGATGGGGCACAATGCCCATGGCAAGGGATGGGGTGGGTGGTTGGTGCAGCCAACGGACGTGTCAGCCAGGACTCAGGGGCTTGCAGGCTGCAGCAGGAACAGGGGGTGGCACTTCCAGGCCTGGGGGCGAAGTGGGGAGAGAAAAAGCAGCCCCCAGAGAAGGCTGGCGGGAAGCGGAAGAGCAAAGACTGAGCTGTACTTGGCTCCGGGGGGGTGTCAGGGCATGGAGCCGGGCTGCTTCTCTCCTGCAGCCTGCGTGCTGCCTGCCTCGCATGCCAGGAGAGGCTCTAGGGTGGCAGGGCCCTGCCTCGGGACTGCAGCCAAGTCACATGAGGAGACCTCCTGCATGCCAGGCGGGCTGCCTGCAGGGTGGCACCTTGGCTGAGCAGGTTGAAGGCTCTCTACACTTCAGTAGGCACTCAGTAGGTATATCCTCCTGGCTGATGCCCTCAGTCTTTGTGACCCAGCCATGGATGCTGTCCACAAGTGGGCAGGGTCTCCCCGTGCTGGTGTGTCCTGCTTCCCGCTTGCCTGGATTGAGTGTCGGCCAGGTGTTTGCAGTGGAGTCCGTGCTCCATCTATGTGCAGCTGTTGTAACTGATGTGAGGACCACTTTGTCCTGTTTACTGCAAATGTTTTACCCAGTTGCCCATCTGTCTTTTGATTTTATAGGCTTTGTTTTGTTTTCACAGTGTGGACATTAAAAAAACCTAGCAGGATGGGATTTGTTAATCTCCCTTTTGGTTTCTGGGTTTTGTCAGGCTAGAAAGGCCCACCCCTTACTGGGGTCACACGGATGGTCCGGCCTCCTGCGGGTGTCCCTCCGCACAGCTGTGTCTGCGATGCGTCCCGCCCCTCGTGCCTCCTGCAGACCCTCCCCAGCCCTGCACGACTCCCCCGTCTGTGCCTCCACAGACCCCTCCCTTCCAGACCCTCTTTCAGGGGTGTCTGTGGCGCTGCTCACCTTGGATGCTCCCCGTCCCAGTTCTCAGGGGTCTCCCTCCTCTGTCCGCCTCTTGCTGGCCCTCCTCCCGAGGCGCTCCCCCCATCCCCCCCGTCAGGCGGGGATGTGGGTCCCCACGTGTCTCCTGCCAGGGCCCTCTGCTCCCTGGATCTGATCACACCTCTCATGCATCTGGAAGCCTCTGTGGCTCGCACAGCCTATTGGGCCTGTTACGTCCCCGCCCCCCAGGCTGACCGGATACCTGACAGCCGTGCTCACACCTGCCCTCCCCAGACAGAGCACTTAACATTGTTTCGAGGAGATCTGCCCTCACGCAGCTCAGAAGCTGCACAGCAGGAGTGGCCTGAGCTCTCAGCCACCTGCCCCACAGCCCCCAGGCCTGCCTGTGCGTCTCAGGTTTACAGGCGTGTTCGTAGCAAAGCCGTGTCTCATGTCCAGATTGTGAATCCTTGGTTCTTCGCTGAACACAGCTTCTTAGTGACCTCTGCATGGTGGCATATAGGTAGCTCCCTCATACAGCCCTCAGGGCCTCACGTCATGACCCTGAAGTGGACGAGGAGGGCTGAGCGCTGCTGCGGCTCTAGCTCCTGGAGCTTTCCAGAGCGGGCCTGCTGGGGGCTGCCCTGCATGCGTGTTGTGATGATGGTGCCCTTGGCAGCACCCCCAGATCACGGAAGGTGAGCAGGCCTTCCATGCTTGCCACACCAGCCGCTCGGCCCGGCCCCTGCCTTCAGCCGCTCCTGGCTCCGCAGCCTGTCCCCCCGCGGCTGGCGCCACCTGCGCCCCCTGGGCCTGCCAGGTGGACCCATCGCGGGGCCAACACAGGGTCCGGGCACCATGCCCTCTTCCTCGCAGAGCCCAGCCTGTGCCTGCACTAAGGCCTGTGCCCCTCGCCCCACCCAGGGCCCCCCAGAGCTGTACGGCCAGACAAGGGTTAGGAGTCAGGCCCTGTCTTGGGGCCTTGGCCCCGTACCCGAGCAGCACTGACCCGAGGCCTCCCTCCAGGTCCCGGCTCTCTCCCTGGAAACAGACCCGGTGGGTGTGCAGAGGGCGGGGACGAGTGGCACCCCCGGCAGACTTGTGCCCTCGGCAGCTGGCCGTTAGGTGGGGATTGGCGGTGTCCCAGGTGAGCTGAGCGGGGTGCGGGGGAGGGGGGCGCCGGGAGGCCAGAGCCAGGGTGGGGTCGGGGGAGTCCTGCCTCCCAGTCCCTGCCTGCAACCGGGAGGGATCAGCTCTGTCTCAGGGTTTTGGCCACGGAGCCCTGGCCCCACGGCCTCCCCTGCTGAGGGCGCGTCTCTGTGTGACCCTGCAGGTGGTGCCTCATGCCTCACCCTTCCCAGAGCCAGGAGCACGCCTGCCCCACCGTTCGCTCTTGTCGATAAAGCCACAGGGACCAGCCCCAGCAGCCAGAATGTGAAGGCCCAGAACCTGCGGGAAGGTGGGCACCCTCCCTCCCCAACTTCTCCCTCTCTGCAGGTCACACCCCTGCCCCCCCCCCAGGTCCCACCCACTCTGGCGCTCGGCTCTTGCTGTGACCCTGATTCTCACACAGATGCTGGGCATGCGTGTGAGGCAGCCTGGGGGAGTCTCAGCAGGGCACCAGGGTTCAGGCCAGGCCTCAGTTTCCCAGGTGGAGGGTGGAGACACTGGAGCAGGGTGTCTGTGGGTGTGGAGGGGCCCCTGAGGCACTCAGGCTGGGCGTGGGTTTGTCCACTCTGAGGGCCCAGGGCCACTCGCAACAGACTCTGAGGCCTTCTGGTGGTGCTGGCTCAGAGGAGGGGGGCATTCTCCATGGTCCTTCCAGAAAGCTCCTCCCACCTCATCCCACACTCCAGGCGTGGAGCTGAGAACTGGAAAAATTGTGCAGATTATCTCTGACATTCCAGGGAGGCTTGGGGCAGGATTTGTGGATGGAGGCTGCAGCTGCCCTGCTCAGCCCCCCTCAGCCTGGGTGTGGTGAGGTGGTCAGTTGCCGGGACTCTGCCGAGCTGTGCTGGCCTCTGTGGCTCAGTCAGGAGTAAGTCTTCGGCTCCAGGGGGCTGTTCCTGGACTATGGCTGGGGGAGGTGGCAGAGAGGCAGAGGCTGTGTGGGGGAGCGGGCAGAGAGCTCAGACTCAGCCCGCGCGGGCCTGGGCACTGTGCTGCCCTCCTGGTGATGCTCCCAGGATGGACGCCCACTGCCCGGGGTCCCTGGACGCCGATGGGTCACCTTTCTCTCAGGGGAGGCAGCCCAGAGGCCCAAGGTCACACAGAGACTGCCCTCAGGCAGCTTCCTGCAAGGAGCACTGTTGAAGGAACCCAGAGGGGACCTGGGGATTCAGGCAGGTGGGCCCCCAGAGTGGGGCGAGTGCCCAGCTCCACCGCTGCAGCCCAGCAGGCCAACAGCATCTCCAGCACGCACTGCCTGGCGAGGGTGTGGGGCCCACAGGGAGCGGGTCTCTGTCGAGCCCCCAGCCTTCCTGCCCCGCTGGGCAGTAGGGGTAGGGCGGGGGCGAGGCCCAGGCAGAAGGCAGCCAGCCTTGCTCCTTCGTTATGGTCTTGTGGGACAGGCTCTTGAGGCTGGCCTCCCTGGCAGGCCCCAAGGCCAACTCCAGAGAGATGCATGTCCCACAGGTGGGCAGGAGGGGGTGCTCAGTCTCTCCAGGGGAGCATGAGGGACCCGTGAGTGGCCAGCAGGGAGGCAGAAAGCCCTGCCACACCTGGGTCTGGCCGGGGCCTCATGGGTGGGGAGCAGGCAGAGGCAGGACACGGGGCACTGGAAGACCCAGGCAGGCAGTCTGGGTCTGGGCAGCTTCTGTGCCGGCCCTGCAGTCGGCAGAGCTGGCCAGCAGGGGGCGGGCTGCCCGAAGCAGGGGTGCTACCTGGAAAGCTCTTTCCTGGCCTCACTGGTCCCCCATCCTGTCCCCAGGAAGCCTCTGAGGCCAGGCTAGCAGAGGGAATAGTGGAGTGCTAGCCAAGTCCAGGGCCAGGCTGACCCGAGAAGCGAGGCTCTGGGTATACTGGGGGTCCCCAGGCTGGAGAGGCCTGACCTGACCTGACCTGGCCCAGGACAGTTTCCTTCCAGAAGGAAGTGGCACTCACTAGTACAAGTCTGGTCAAAGGAAGGCTGGTCAGTCTCCAGATGGCCATGAGGTCTGTCCGAGTGGGAAGGGGGCCTCTTGGTGGGCAGGCTGAGCTGCGGGGGCACCTTCTAGGTGGGGCCTGGCCACGGCCTCCTGAGCAGTGTCCTGAGACCATGCCTGGTGACCACACCAGGCGTGCTGGGCAAGACAGTCCATGGTGGGGACTGTGGGGCTGTGCCGCAGCCCAGCTGCTTGCCCGACTATCTGTCCGGACAGCTCCCAGATCAGGCAGGCCACTGTGCTCATGTTCACACAAGCAAGGCTTGCATGTAGCCCAGAACAGCTGAGGGGGCATTGAGTGGCCTGAACTAGAAAGCCTGGCAAGGAAGAGGCCCAGACTCGGGCGGTGAGCAGCTCATGGCTAGCACAGGCCATGCCCTCCACCCTCTGCAGCAGAGGAGCAGGATGGCCTGGGCGCCCTCAGGAGTCTGGCAGAGCTGCAGGAGAAAGTGAGCTTGCCTAGCCCAGCCTGAGGGCAAATGGGTCAAGGGCCAACATGGGGCCTTGAGGGGCCGCCTGGCCGGAGGCCTGCTGTGAGCGGGCATGCTGTCCGTCTGCTCTTTTCTCTGAGCTGCAGAGAAACGCTGAGTGTGGGGCCAGAAAGTGGACCGCACAAGGTTTTCTTGCAGGGCGGGGCTCTGGGGGGGGGTGGCCTGTCCCCATCCAGCCCTGATGGTTTCCTGCTTCCTCCTCTCAGGCCGGCAGGAGGGAGCACCTGCGTGTGCAGCTCGGCCACTGGCTACTCCAAAGGGGGCCCTTCCTGAAGACAGTTGCCGGGCCCTGGGTGCCCTGCCTGCCTAGAGAGCATCAGCCCCAGGCACTGGGGGCCAGGACCCCCGGACTCTGGACACACACCTGCCCAGCCCTCCCTCCTGCCGCACCTCCTCTTAGCACTGACACCCGGAAGGCTGGGGGTGCTGGGGGGCGGCGGGGGAGGAAGGCCCGGCCATGGCTGCTCCTGGACCCCACCTGGTCTCCTAAGACAGAAAGGCAAGGGCTCTCTGGGCTCCCAGGGGTGTGTGCCCTGCCCTGCCCTGCCCTGCCCCTGTGTGAGGAGCCGGGAGCTGCAGCCTTGTCATCTGGGTGATTAGCTTCAGACCCTGGACTGACACTGGCCAGGTCCCGCCTGCTTCCTGCAGGGTGTCCTCCTGACCCCACGCGGGTGGAAGGCCCTGCCCATCGAGCGGCCAAGGTGCTCGGGCCCCGGGAGGCGGGCTGCAGGTGCCCTCCCACGCCGCCTTTCTGCCTGGGGCCCGTGGCCCTCACACCTGCCCAGGCCTGGTCACAGTGTGGGACTCCTGACCCAGCCTTGCCAGGCACAGAGGCCACGAACCTCGGGAGGGGATGCCCCTGAGGGAGCCAGTCCAGCCAGCTGCCCCCCGCCTCAGGCCCAGCCTGGCCCCTGTGCTGCCCCGGTTGGTGCCCCCCGCACCCCCCCTGGCAGGCAGCCCCCGCCATGGCCGAGCACCTGGAACTGCTAGCAGAGATGCCCATGGTGGGCAGGATGAGCACTCAGGAGCGGCTGAAGCATGCCCAGAAGCGACGGGCCCAGCAGGTGAAGGCGTGGGCCCAGGCTGAGAAGGAGGCCCAGGGCCGCAGGGGCCCGGGGCAGCCACCACAGGGCGCGGCGCGAAAGCGGGTGCTCTTCCCTCCCAGCGTCACCCTCCTCGAGGCGGCTGCCCGCAATGACCTGGAAGAAGGTGAGTGTGGCTGAAGTCCGGGCCCGCTTGGCTGGCAGCCCTGTCCCCACTACTCACGCAGGCCTCAGGAGCTGCAGCCTCCCGGTGGGAGCCCAGGGCAGCCTGCAGAGGGCCCTGCTGGGCCGGGGGCCGAGGTGGGGTGGGCTGGGAGCCGCCGTCTTCTCTGCCTCTGGCCAGGGTGCTGGGAGTTGCCCACGACGCCTGCCTGTCTGGGTTCTGAGCCTTCGCCTCCATAAAAGACATGTGCCACCGCCCCTGGCAGATTAGACCCAGGGTGCAGGGCTGCCCAGCAGGCCCCCCTCGACGCCCATCCTCAGCTCTGCCTCTGACTTCTTCCTTCCCCCTCGGAGCCTTCCCGGAGGACAGGCTAGGCAGGACCCCCTTCCTGCCGCTGCCGTGTGCCTGCTCTCAGCCCCTCTGCCCTCCCAGGGAGGCTCCTGAGGGCTCCTTCTGTCTCCCTCCAGGGCGGGGCCTCTGCTGTGGCAGCTCGGGTGCAGAGGGCGAGGAGGGGCAGGGTGTGCCCAGAGCAGGGAAGGGGGGCTGGGCACGGTGGCTGTGGGTCAGCCAGCAAACAGGAGCTGTGGGGCAGGGGGTGCAGCTGGGGAGGGCTGGGCCTGGGTACCCTGGGTCTTCAGTCTTGTCCACCGAGGTGCGGGGGGAGCTGCAAGTACCAGGGGAGGGGTGCGTGTGAGTGTGTGTGCGTGTAAGGCTGGGGGAACATGGGACCTGACTGAGGGGTGTCTGAGGGTGCATGCCGGCTCCCAGGCCTGGGGGTCCCTTTCTGGGAGGAGTCGGAAGGCTGGAAGGCCCTAACTGGGGAGGCGTTCTGAGGCTGAGGCTGAGGCAGGGGGCTGCTGTCTACACCCTGCCTGGGGGCCCAGCCCCGAGCCCTCAGCCTGGGCTCTGGGGTCCCTTCTGCCTTCCGTGAGCTCCTCTGCTGTCCTGGCTACAGCACAGGACGCGACCCAGGTGCTCCGGGCAGGGGCCTGAGCAGGACGCACAGGCCCGCGGGCCAACTTCTGCTCCCAAGCCCTGACTGCCTTTGTCCTCCCCGCAGTCCGCCAGTTCCTCGAGAGCGGGGTCAGCCCTGACCTGGCCAATGAGGACGGCCTGACGGCCCTACATCAGGTCAGCCCTGCTGGCGGTGGGAAGGGAGGCCAGGGCCGCGGCGGGGGCTCAGACACTCAGGCTGCACGCTCCGCAGAGCTGCATTGACGACTTCCGGGAGATGGTACAGCAGCTCCTGGAGGCTGGGGCCTGGGTCAATGCCTGTGACAGCGAGTGCTGGACACCGTTGCACGCCGCAGCCACCTGTGGCCACCTGCACCTGGTGGAGCTGCTCATTGCTCGGTAGGGCCCGCTGGGAGCATGGGTAGTCGGAGTGGGCATCTCTCTCAGGCTGGGGCAGGCAGGACTTTCCCCACAGGGGGCAGCTCATGTGGAGACAGCGACCCAGGCTTCTCCCCTGGGTCTCCGTCTCCACTTGCCCTGGCATGCCCTGCCTGCACCCCGGTGCGCATAGCTGGGGCCTGGCAGAGGCCACAGTGCTGCCTCCGCAGGGAACTGGCACGCCGCAAGGCAGCGTGGCCCTCCACCCGCGGGAGTTCCCTGAGGGCAGGCTTTGGCCTCCTGCTTTGGTTGTCTGACCTTCCCAGGGTCTGCACAGAAATGCACTCTGGTCAGAGTCACAAGGGAGGAATTGGCAAGGGGATACTTGGACACTGGTGGGGCCGTTAATGGGGAGGGCAGAGCAGGGCTGGGCTCCTGAACACCTGCCTTGATGAATGGAGAGGGTGGCCAGCTTTGCCAGGATCCAGGAGCCCCCCTCGGCTGGCCTTGGAGGGCGTCAGTGGTGGGTGTGCAGGTGAATGACTGTCTCCCCGCTCACACACAGATGCCTGGGCATGGGGAGGGGTGGGTGTGTAGGCCCCAGCCCCACTCCACTCCTCTCCACAGAGGACACCCCGCTCCTTGCAGAGGGCCGGGGGCACCCAGAATCCTGGCACCCCTTGGGGCAGGGGGACCCACTGGACACATTCATGGGAGCCAGGGGCTGGGAGCTCAGACCGCCTGACAGCCCAGCAGCCCAAGGACAGATGCAGGGGCGTCCAGCAGGGCTGCCTCTCAGCAGAGGCCTGGGCCCCTTGGACACAGCCCCACAGTGTGCTGCCCGAGGTGAGGGCTTCCCTCCCGGCACAGAGGCCCCGTGACCAGCACCCTGTCCGTCCTCTCCACAGCGGTGCTGACCTCCTGGCAGTCAACACGGATGGGAACATGCCCTATGACCTATGTGAGGATGAGCAGACACTGGACTGCCTGGAGACAGCCATGGCCAGCCGCGGTGAGTGTACCCCCCCCACCCCCCTGGTGGGGGAGGCTGCGTTGGGAGAGTGAGCCCTGAGTGCCCCGCCTCGCAGGCATCACCCAGGACAGCATCGAGCAGGCCCGGGCCCTGCCAGAGCTGCACATGCTAGAGGACATCCGGAACCTGCTGCAGGCAGGGGCCGACCTCGACGTCCCCCGGGACCACGGGGCCACGCTGGTGAGGATGCAGCACTGGACCGGGCGGGGGAGGGCGCTCCCCAAAGTGGAGCCGGGACTAAGGTGCGGGTGGTGTGCCTGCAGCTACATATCGCTGCGGCCAACGGGTTCAGCGAGGCGGCCGCCCTGCTGCTGGACCACCGGGCCAGCCTGAGCGCCAAGGACCATGACGGCTGGGAGCCGCTGCATGCGGCAGCCTACTGGGGCCAGGTGAGTGCCCGCGGGTGGTGGGCTGACGAGCCCACAGGCTCTGCAGGCCTCAGCAGCCCTGTCGCTCCGGCCCACAGGTGCGCCTGGTGGAGCTGCTTGTGGCACACGGGGCTGACCTGAACAGCAAGTCCTTGATGGACGAGACGCCTCTCGGTGAGCCGGGGGCCACGTCCTCGTGGTGTAGGGGGCGCGTGGCGGGGCCCATGACCCTCCGGCTCCTCCGCAGACGTGTGCGGGGACGAGGAGGTACGCGCCAAGCTGCTGGAGCTGAAGCACAAGCATGATGCCCTCCTGCGTGCCCAGGGCCGCCAGCGCTCCCTGCTGCGCCGCCGCACCTCCAGCGCCGGCAGCCGCGGGTGAGTGCCCACCCCTCCCGCCAGGCCCCCGCGGCCCCGCCCCGTGGGCTGGGCCTGGGGCTTTGTCCCCGCTGAGGTCAGCTGGCAGCCCAGGGTGCCAACCTAGGCAGAGTCCACAGGGAAGGCGATGTCTTCCCCCACCCTCTCCTTGCGCTCCCAGGAAGGTGGTGAGGCGGGTGAGCCTGACCCAGCGCACCAGCCTGTACCGCAGGGAGCACGCCCAGGAGGCCATCGTGTGGCAGCAGCCCCCGCCTGCCAGCCCCGAGCCGTTGGAAGAGGATGAGGACCGCCAGACCGACGCAGAGCTCCAGCCGCCGCCCCTGGAGGTGAGCCCGGCCCGCCCTCGCACCCTGGTGGGGCCAGTGACCCTGTCCTCAAACACAAGAGCCACACGTTCGGGGGTCAGCTCCGCCCCCACCCTTGTTTTCGCTCCTGGACCACCGTGCTGCCTGGGGCCCCAGGCCAGAGGGCGCCTGCTGATGGCCTCCGGGCCGTGCTCCCCCCACAGGAGGAGGACCCTGAGGAGGCCAGGCCGCACAATGGCCGAGTGGGAGGCCCCCCGGGACGGCACCTGTACTCCAAGCGGCTGGACCGGAGCGTCTCCTACCAGCTGAGCGCCCTGGAGAGCGCCTCCCCCGACGCCCTGGTGCGCGCCAAGGCCCACCACACCCTGGCAGAGCTCAAGCGGCAGCGGGCGGCTGCAAAGCTGCAACGACCCCCAGCTGAGGGGCCCGAGGCTGCTGAGGCTGGCCTGCCTGTGGACACTGAGACCCCCCAGCCAGAGAGTGGCTGTGGGGCGAGTGGAGACCCGCCCCTGCTGAAACTCACAGCCCCCTCAGAGGCGGCCCCTGTGGAGAAGAGACCATGCTGCCTGCTCATGTGAGGGCCTGGCGGCTGGGGCGGTGAAGGCCCCACTGCCCAGCCCGGGCCCCCGCTCTGCGTGCCCAGTGCGTGTCCCGGGCCAGGCTGCCAGCATCCCTGAGGAACAGCCCCGAGGCAGAAGCTGTGCCTGCGAGGCGCCTGGCTGCAGAGACCTAGTGTTGTCCTGTGACCCTCGATAAAGGGCTGTTCTGCCACTGCCTTGTGTCTCAACAGGGCCTCTGTTGCCAGCAGGGAGCGGCTGTGTTGCTGGGTCTGGGTGCGCCTGCCCCGGGAGCACCCGAGGCCCATAGCGCACGCTGGGGCTCGCTCGGGGTGCCCAGCCCCGTGTGGGTGTGGGGCACATGCCCGTCAGGCAAGAAGCCTGGCCCTTCAGCACCCCGCCTCCCGGGCTCCTGGAGGCCCCTCTGTAATACTTTGCTTTCTTGAGCAGAAAAAGTAGCTTCGGAAGGACACTCCTTGGGGGCCAGGGCTGAGGGTGTCCTCGTTGGAGGGCAAGGACCCTGGCTTAGAAGAGAAGAGGGTATTTCCCGTAAGGCTCTTGGCCAGAGCCAGCAAGGCAAAGCGGTTCAAGGCTTGTGTCAGAAGCCTCCCTGTCGGGGGTGGGTTCCCCGTTCCTGGCATGCAGCCCCGGGGCCCTGGCTGCCAGCTTCCGCTTGGGCTGGCAAACAGGCTCTGAGCTGGCCAGGCATGATGCGTTGGGGTGACAGGGCCACTTAGGGGCCTCACTTGGGAGGGCTGGGGCCCTGCCAGCTCGTCTGTCCCTGGCAGGTTGCTTGGCCCGGCCACGAGTGCTGGGTGCCATGGGCTGGGGTCACCCTCTCTGCTGGACACTTACTTACCTGGTCAGCCCAGAGTCTGCGGTCCCTTCCCTGAGCATGAGTGGTTGGAGGGGTGTCCCCAGCAGAGTTGGGGGAGGCTGCCGGTTAAATTTAGCGTGTGGGCCGGGGCGGCTGCCCAGGGGCTGCTCGCCACAGCTGCCACTTGAGCCCTGCTGCCAGGGGGCGGGCGGAGGCGGGCTCTGCCTGATGCTGGGGCCCTATCAGCCTGCGCTTCTGCCTTGGGGCCAGAGAGGCCTGTGCTCTGGGAGGCAGCGGTGGCCGCGGAGCAGGAGGCGCCAGGTGAGAGGCCAGCTGCCTGGGCTCCGGTTTCCTCTCCCGCCCACGGGAGCCAAGGGGCCGGCGCACCACAGGCCTGCCCAGCTCCTCTGAGAAGGGCGCTCCCTGACCCTCCGTGTGGGGTCGGAGCCTGGGGCTGGGCAGGCCACACAGGGCCTATCGCTCCCTGCAGGGCCTGCAGAGGTGGGCCACGAGGCTTATCACAGCTCCCTTCCCACTCTCTGCACCAATCAGGAGCCTCAGGGAGGGGGCGCTTAGGTCACCCTGCCCCTGGTGCAGCCCCAAGGGCAGCTCCAGGCTGGTACGTGTTTGGCAAAAGGGCAAGACAGCAGCCCGGAACTGCAGAGGTGTCCCAAAGGCCTTGCGAAGGCCCAGAGCTGCCCTGCCCCTGCCCCTCCCAGCACCCCAACCCAGAGACTCCGGCCTTGCAGCACTGATGGGGGACCAAGGTCCAAACACAGGGCTCTTGCTGGCCCAGGCCTGGTCCCCAGCACAGGAGGGCCAAGTGGAACCCACGACTGAAGCCTCGCTCCCCTACCCCAACAGCCCCAAGATTCCTGAGGCCTGGCTCAGTTACCCGGGAGACAGGCCTGCTCTGCTGGCCGGGAGCAAAGATGGGGGGGTCCAAGAGGGCTGGGCCTCGGCCGAGCCCTACTGGAGTAACTATGCTGAGGCCCCGGGCCTCACTCCCGCTTGCTCAGGGCCCAGTCCTCCTGGCTCTATGGACCCCTCAGGGCGCTCAGCCCCCTCCCCACCCCCAGGCCTCATTCCACGGAGCTGCTGGCACGTTCCGCCTGTCCCTGCCCCATGTGGGTCTCCTGCCCCCTGTCCTGAGGATGCTGGGCGGGCACCGGGCCTCACCCCAAGCTCCGCCTGCCTTCTCACCCACTCCCTGTGGCTCCCAGGGCAGAACTGTGCCCAGGCGGGTGGGGCCTGGCAGCCCGGCTCCTTCTTCAGCCTCTTCTGTACTCTCAGTGGGGCCAGCAGGCTGCAGCCAACAGGGCGCCCCCTTCCCAGGCTCTCCCTTCCCAGCCCTGGCCCCCCGAGCCTGGACCGGCTGACCTCACCCCCACTTCTGGATCCTGCCGCCTCCTAAGCCTCCTTCCTGCCCATCTGAGCAGAGTCATGGCCCTGAGGGCAGGTGAGCACAGCCAGGAGGCAGCAAATGGGCTGAAGGAGAGAGTACTGACACTGGACTCCATGAACCCTTGTGTCAGGAGGGTGGAGTACGCGGTTCGAGGCCCCATTGTGCAGCGGGCGCTGGAGCTGGAGCAGGAGCTGCGCCAGGTATGTTCCCACCCCCCTGGCCTGGCGAGAGGACCCCAGGCAGCCCCCGCACCCCCGCCCCCCAACCCCCCCAGGCCTGGCAAGAGGGGCCCAGGCAGGTCCCCCAACCCCTGCCTGTCCCCTGGGCCTGGTGAGAGGGCCCTGGGCGGGGGCGGGTCCCTCCCCACCCCCCGCCTTAGGAGACAAGGTCTGTGGGAGTGATAAGCTCCCCCCTCACTGTGCTTCCCGCCTCCCTCCAGGGCGTAAAGAAGCCCTTCACCGAGGTCATCCGTGCCAATATCGGGGACGCACAGGCCATGGGGCAGATCCCTATCACCTTTCCGCGCCAGGTGAGGCTCAGCACTGCCCTGCACCCTCCCCCAATCAGCCCGTGAACCCTGGCCCCAGCACTTGCTCCTCCCAGGTCCTGGCCCTCTGTGTCCACCCCGATCTCCTGAACAGCCCTGACTTCCCGGAGGACGCCAAGAGGAAGGCAGAACGCATCTTGCAGGCCTGTGGGGGCCACAGCCTGGGTGAGCACCAGAACCCACCCAAGCCTGGGGGAGTTGGGGGGGGGGGTGCGGTGAGCAGGAGCTGGAGGGAGGCTGTCTCAGGTGGGCCCGCCCCTGGAAGGGGGTTGGATTTCCTCACGTGGGCAGCGAGGGGACTTCAATTGTCCCACCCCGGCCGTCCTGCTCCGTCCCCTCATGCTCAGGGGCCTACAGCATCAGCGCTGGTGTCCAGATGATCCGCGAGGATGTGGCGCGGTACATTGAGCGGCGCGATGGAGGCATTCCCGCCGACCCCAATAACATCTTCCTGTCCACGGGGGCCAGCGATGCCATTGTGGTAGGCTGGGGCCAGTGCGGGAAGCCACCGCAGCTCCTAGTGCGCAGCCGGGAGGGTCTGCCAACTCCACTTCCCACCCCTTCCGCAGACGGTGCTGAAATTGCTGGTAACCGGCGAGGGTCGCACGCGCACGGGCGTGCTCATCCCCATCCCTCAGTATCCACTCTACTCTGCCGCGCTGGCCGAGTTCAACGCGGTGCAGGTGTAGTACTACCTGGACGAGGAGCGTGCCTGGTCGCTCGACGTGGCAGAGCTGCGGCGCGCGCTGGGCCAGGCGCGTGACCACTGCCGCCCCCGCGCGCTCTGCGTCATCAACCCCGGGAACCCCACCGGTGCGCGACCCCACCCGTCCCTGCCCCGCCGCCCGGCCCGAACAGGCATGCCTGTCCGCCGCGCCTGGGTCAGCCTTCCCCTCCGCCCACCGCCCTGCACAGAGCAGAGCGCCCCCTCCGCTGACCCCGGACCTGTCGCACCCCCGTGCCACAGGGCAGGTGCAGACTCGCGAGTGCATCGAGGACGTGATCCGCTTCGCCTTTGAGGAAAGGCTTTTCCTACTGGCCGATGAGGTGCTGGCGGGGCGCCCGCGGGGAGGGGGCGGCGGGCGGTGGCACGCGCCCCAGTGACGCGGCCCGCCGTCTCCCGGCCGCCCGTCCAGGTGTACCAAGACAACGTGTACGCCGAGGGCTCGCAGTTCCACTCGTTCAAGAAGGTGCTCACGGAGATGGGGCCACCGTACGCGGCGCGACAAGAGCTCGCCTCCTTCCACTCGATTTCCAAGGGCTACATGGGCGAGTGCGTGCGGGCTGGGCGGGTGGGGCCCAGATCTCGGGCGGCGGCCGGGCTCTCGTTGCTGCCAGGCTGGCCCCTCCTTGCCAGCCCTGCCTCGACGCCCGCCTTCGCGTCGCAGGTGCGGCTTCCGCGGCGGCTACGTGGAGGTGGTGAACATGGACGCCGCGGTGAAGCAGCAGATGCAGAAGCTGCGGAGCGTGCGGCTGTGCCCGCCCACCCCGGGCCAGGTCCTGCTCGATGTGGCTGTCAGCCCGCCCGCGCCCTCCGACCCCTCCTTCGCGCAGTTCCAGGCGGTGAGTGGGCGGGGCCGCGGGCGTCGGGGCCCCGCGCCCGGCCTGGCCTGACCAACCCTCCCTTCCTCGGCCGCAGGAGAGGCGGGCGGTGCTGGCCGAACTAGCGGCCAAGGCCAAGCTCACGGAGAAGGTCTTCAACGAAGCTCCCGGCATCCGCTGCAACCCGGTTCAGGGCGCCATGTATTCCTTCCCGCGCGTGCAGCTGCCCCCGCGTGCGGTGCAGCGCGCTCAGGTCCGACGTGCGGGATGGGCAGGCCGGGCAGGGCCCGCGGGGCCGGGGACGTCCTCCTTGATCGTCCTCCTTGAGCGTCCCTTCCCATCCTCCCGAACCCCCAGGAGCTGGGCCTGGCTCCCGACATGTTCTTCTGCCTGCGCCTCCTAGAGGAGACTGGCATCTGCGTGGTGCCTGGGAGTGGCTTCGGACAACGGGAAGGCACCTACCACTTTCGGTGAGGCCCTGCTTGTGCAGCCCCTCCCCTTGACCCCCACCGCATTCGCTTACTTTCTTCCCCCTTTTAGGATGACTATTCTGCCCCCCATGGAGAAGCTGCGGCCCCTGCTGGAGAAGCTGAGCCAGTTCCATGCCAAGTTCACCTGCGAGTACTCCTGAGGACCCGTCAGAAGCCAGGGCCAGCCAGAAGGGATGATCTCCGACTGAGGGCACTTGGCCCTGGGGCCTCTGGGGCCTCTGGACTTGCTGCTGCTGCCTGTGTGGCAGAGCCCCTGCCCCTCCGCAGGCCCTAATAAAGCAGTGGGCTGGCCGGGCTGCCTGGAGGCCACGTGCACACCCGTGTGCACCTTCGCAGCCTCGTCCACTCCCAACTGCCTGTCTGTCTGGGTTCTGTGCAGGCCTGGGGGCCGGGGCATGGTCAAGGAGGGCTTCCTGAGGAGCGGACATTCTTACAGGATAGAGTTGGCTGGATGGGAACTGGCGGAGTTGGCAGAGGGAAACCGAGCAGCCCTGAGAGGGCAAGGAGGGTGTCTTGGTTTCCAGACGGGGCAGGTGATAGCGGTTCTGCAGCTTTGACAGCTGGCGGAGGAGCAATGTCAGCTAAGGGGTGGGGGCGGAAGGGCACATGGGTCACCTTTGTCATGCTCGTGTGGAGTGTGTGACATCCACGTGCAAATGCAGTCCTTGGGCTGGAAAACAGAGAGGAGGGCCCCCAGAGCTGGGGCAGGTTTGGGTGAAGAGAGCTCAGAAAATGGTGAGGAAGAGGTGCCCTTTGGAGCACCAGCCTAAAGGACCCAGGCTGGGGGCTGACCCAGATGGGCAGCCAACCGTATGTCCTTGACACTGGCCCTCAAGGACGAGCACCTACTGTCACTGTTGTGGGTCCTCTGTGGTGGGCACTTTAGTCCCCATTTCACAGAAGAGGAGACCTGGGCCCCTGAAATGCCTAGAAATGACAGGAAACTCACTCCATGTGGCCTTGGTAGCTGACCAAGGGTCTTGGCTCAAATGCCTATGAGTTGGTTTAAGGGTTGGCTGGCTTCAGAGACCCACGGGCTTGGGGAAACTACTGGCCAAGGTCCCAGCTCAGCTCGGGAGGCGGTTCTTAACCACAGTGCGGGTTTCACTGGCTCCCCTGGGCCTCAGGTGTCCTCAGGCATCAGCATAGCTCTGGGCCCGAGAGGCTGTGTGAGACCCTTGGGGGGTGGGGACTCCCCCCCCGCCCCGCCCACCACCACCGCTGAGGCCACCTGGAGCCTAGACAGGCTCTCGGGGCCTCCTCCCCACTGGACACCAGAGCCTGTGGGACAGCAGCCGGAAGCGTGCGTGGGATGAACGGGGCTCAGGCCTTTCCCACGACACTCTTCAGCCACCGGCCTCCAGAGGGCGCTGAGACCACGAGTTCAGGGAGCTGAAGGGCACCGGAGCTAAGGAAGCAGCAGCCGAGAGGCCTGAGAGGACAGCTGCTCTGTGGAGCCGCTAGGCGACCCAGCGGAACCGGTAGCCACCAGGCCCCAGGTGGGACACCTGCGGCACTTCCGGAGGCTGAGGGGCGTCTGGGAGCCGGTCAGACGGCCGGGGAGGGACCTGGATGGGCCCCGGTTTCCGACGTTCGAAGCCAGTCGGCCACCGGGGGCGCCCGCGGGCTGTCGGCGCTCTAGCCCGCCCACGTCCTCTATGGCCACCGCGTTTCCGGGCTGCGCTGTGGCGCGCGAGGGCTGCCCAGCTCCGCCGCCGAGACGTCCAGCTCCTCGGGTGCTGAGCCCGCGGGACCCGAAGGCGCGGTCGCGGATGCCAGCTTGGCCACCCCTGACCCAGCCCCAGTCGTGCCGCTGTGTGACCCCTAACCCCATCGCAACTGGACGGATCGGACCCCCTGGGAACCGCCCTGCCCCTGCTCTGAGCAGGACCCCTCATCCTGCCCGTCTGGCCCTGAACGCGGCCCTCTCCCCAGGGCCGCGCCCCCTGGCCATGCGCGGGAAGCTGCTGCCCCTGGCCGGCCTCTACCTGGTGCAGGGCCTGCCCTACGGCCTGCAGTCAGGCCTGCTGCCCGTGCTGCTGCGAGCCCGTGGCCTTTCCCTGACGCGCGTGGGGCTGGCCAAGGCGCTGTATGCGCCGTGGCTGCTCAAGCTCTTTTGGGCTCCGCTAGTAGACACGTGGGGCTCCCCAAGGGGCTGGCTGGCACTCAGCACGGCTGCCTTGGGCCTGGTGTGCGGGCTGTTGGCAGCCCTGCCTCCTGCCGGCGCCGGCGGGGCCCCGCTGCCTGTCCCGGTGGCGGCGCTGCTCCTGCTGCTGAATCTGGCTGCGGCCGTGCAGGACGTGGCCTTGGACATGCTGGCCGTGCGGCTCCTGGAGCCGGCTGAGCTGGGGCCCGGCAATACCGTGCAGGTGGTTGCTTACAAGCTGGGGGCCGCGCTGGCCGGCGGTGGGCTGCTGGCCCTCCTGCCCGCGCTCTCCTGGACGCTGCTCTTCCTGCTCCTGGCCGCCACCTACTGGCTGGCTGCAGCCGCGGCCTGGGTGGCGCCCGCCCTGCGACAGCTGCCCACACCCCCGCCCTCAGCGCACCCCCGCCCCAGCCTGCACCTTCAGCAGGACTTGCTGGCAGTGCCTGGGACCCTGTGGACAGCGGGCTTCGTGCTCACCTACAAGCTGGGTGAGTCAGGCAGTAGCACGGGTGGGTCTCCAGGAACTGGCGCAGGACTGCCTTCCCTTTGTGGGGTCTGACCTGAGGCCTGGAGCCCCCGCCCCCCCACCCTGTGCGGCTGGGCCTTGTTTCCTGTCTGCAGGTCTAGCCCCAGCCACACCCCTGCAGGCCTTTCTGAGCTGCTTTGTGTTGACCCTGAATTTGGCCAAAGCCTAGCCCCACCTGTCTTGCTGGCGCCTGTGGCCCAGCAGAAGGGCTGGGGGAGTGTGACTGAGGCTGAGGTGGAGAAGCAGGGCAAGCTGCCCCTACTGTCTCTCCACAGGTGAGCAGGGTGCCAGTGGTCTGTTCCCACTGCTCTTGCTGGACAGCGGCATCTCCACCCCAGAGCTGGGGCTGTGGAATGGTGTGGGTGCTGTGCTTTGCTCCATTGCTGGCTCATCCCTGGGTGGGGTCCTGCTGGCCAGGCGTTGGTGAGACCCCCCTCAGCACACCCTACCCACCTGCTCCCCTCTCCTTCCCCGTGCCCTCTGACCTGCCCTGTCTCCCCCTCAGGCAGCCACTGCCCCTCCTGAGGTCAGTGCTTCGGTTCCGTCTTGGGGGCCTGGCCTACCAGACTGCCCTGCTCTTTCAGCTGAACAGCCCCAGAGCCAACCCCGTCCCTGGCACAGTCCTGAGAGGTGAGGGTGGGCCATGGGGGGCAAAGCCTGGGGCCCTGGGCCTTGCTGACCTTCACCCTCCCAGGGGCAGCCCTGCTGAGTCTGTGTCTGCAGCACCTCCTGGGGGGCTTGGTCACAACCATCACCTTCACCGTGATGATGCGCTGCAGTCAGCTGGCACCCAGTGCCCTGCAGGTGAGAACCGTGGTTGCAACATCGGGGGCTGTGGGCCTGGAGTCCAAGCAGGTCCTGACGTGACATCCTCCGTCCACCCCGCAGGCCACACACTACAGTCTCCTGGCCACTCTGGAGCTGCTGGGGAAGCTGCTGGTGGGCACACTGGCGGGAGCCCTGGCTGATAGCCTGGGGCCACACCTCTGCTTCTCTCTCTTCTTAGCTCTCTCAGCCACCCCCATGCTGTACCTGGGCTTTGTGCCCAACACCCTGGCCTGAGCTGAAAGGCTGGACTCATCAATAAAGTGGAGTGTGCTTCTGGGACAAATGTTGTGCAGAGTCATCCCCAGACTATGGGGTTGTTCCCAGTGGAAGGAACGATCCTGAAAACAACTCGAGCAACTTTTATTCTGCACTTTGGGGCCTCTCTGCCCCCGTGCTCCTGGTGGTGGGCTGTGTTTGGGGTGGTGGGTCACTGTCCTGATCACTGCATCCCCCTCCATCTTTACCCTGAGGACCCACTACACCTGACACCCCCACGCTGTGGCCTTGCAGCCCCACATAGGCCCCTGTCTGGGACAAGGGGGCACTGGGTCCTCTGCAGAAGGGTGGTCAGCGGCCCCACAGCAGGAGCTCCTGCGTGGCCAAGTGCATGAGGGCAGGGAAGCTCAGGTGCAGGTACTTCCTCCAGAAGCGCTGGTCTCGCCCGAACACCTGGGCTGGATAGCAGGGGCTCCCTGGAGGGGGAGGAGATGCGGCTGAGGACTCCGGGCCAGGTGTGACCCCAGCCCCCACCTCCCTCAGGGCCAGGCCTCCCAGGTCCGCACCGATGCCATGGAAGACCCGGGCCACAGCCCTGCCTGAGAATCGCTGCTCTGGCCACGAGGACAGGAGCTGGCGGATGTCCCGGCGGATCTGGTCTTCCCAGCCCTGGAGCTGTGGGGGGGGACAGTCAGGCCAGCCCGGCTTCCACTGCTCGCTCTTCTGCACGGCCCGGCTTCCACTGCTCACTCTTCTGCACGGCCCGCCGCAACGCCAGCAGGAGGCGGGTGTGTGCCCACAGACAGGTGCACCCTCTGCAGCCACGCCTCCGGGCCCCGACACTCACCCTGTCCTGTCCCAGCTCGGGGTCGTCCTCTGGCTCCGGGCTCCCCGGCTGCTCTGACTCTTCCTCAAAGTACTGACTGAGCATGGCCTTGAGCCTCCTGCTATGCTCCCAGGTGGGCTGCTCCAGGCATGGCCCGCAGCTGGGGAAGGCCTCGCTGCAGAGGGGAGAGCCTGTCAAGAGGGGCCTGCCTGGGGCAGGGTGGGGTGGCCCACGCCCTGCCCACCTCCTCTTGCACCTGTGAAAAGCCCTGAAGGTGTGGTGCAGGCGGGTCAGGGCCTCTTGCTCTCGGGCCTGCACACGGCCATGCAGGAAGTCGCAGATCTGGTCCATCTCTTGGGCCGTCAGGTCCCCCGGGCTGTGCACGTGGAAGGCCGTCTCCCTGAAGTCCACCAGCACCCCCGTGCCCTGGGGCACACCTGCCAGATAGGGTGTCAATAACTGGCAGAGGGGCAGGGAGAGGGGGGCAAGTGGGGCTGGGGGTGGGCGCACCTGTCCCAGGCTCTGGGTCCCACTGCAGCTGGAGGAGAGCCCGCCGCACGGGGCCCAGCTCCCAGCCTGTAGAGTCCACCAGCTCGACCAGATCTAGCTCCACAGAACTGCACCCCCGCCTCATGTCGGGGTGCTGCTGGGCCAAGCACAGAGCCAGTGGGGGGCACCTGTGCCAGGGGGGTGGCATGTGATTGGCAGCCCTGTCCTCTGTCCCCGTCGACGGCTCGGGTGGGACGTGTGCTCACCTGCTGGCCAGGGCCTGGAGCTGGGTGGGGCCCCCAGGCCAGCGCAGGTGGCAGCGGGCATAGGTGGGAGCGAGCAGCTTCAGCCAGCGCCGTGGGTGCAGCTCCAGGTAGCACAGCAGCGTCTCAATGGCTGCGGGCAGAGCAGAGCTCACTCGGGGCCTGTGAGACCCCCTATCCCCGCCGCGCATGCCCTTGCTCCTCACCCTCCTCCGGCATATCCAGGGCCTGCACAGTTGGCTGCACTGGGAGCATCCGCTCATGGCCTGGGCACCGGGGTGTGTGTGGGATGCTGGGCTGGCCAGGATCCTGGGCGCTCGCAGTTACAGGGGCCCCGGCCAAGCGCCCTTCCCCACTCCCGCTGCCCTCCTGTTCTTGGGGCTGCCGGGGACAAGTGCAGGGAGAGAACACACGCTGCACCAGCCTCTTCACAGCAAGGAAATCCACAGCGTTGGCGTGCACATGTCTGCGCAGCTCCCGCAGGTCCTGGCCCTGGGGCAGAGTGGTGTGAACGTGGGGCGCAGCCCCGGGTGGGGCTAGGGGAGCTGCTGGGGGCGGGGTGGGCACCCACCTGGGGCCGAAGGAAGAGGTGGCAGTGTGCCGGCTGCCCGTCACGCCCTGCGCGGCCCACCGCCTGCACGTAGCTCTCGAAGCTGGGGGGCAGGCCCAGGTGCAGCACAGCCCGCACATCCGGCCGGTCCAGCCCCATCCCGAAGGCCACCGTGGCCACCACCACGCGCAGCTGGCCCTCCATGAAGGCCCGCTGCACCCGCCGCCGCTCTCGGCTGCACAGGCCAGCGTGGTAGGCCTCAGCCACAGCCTCCAGCGCTCGGCCTGCAGAGAAGACCAGGGCAGTCAGGTAGGGCGTGTGCCCGGGGCGCGTCTGCGGGGCACAGGCCTGCCTCGCCTCACCGTGGGGCCCTGGGTTCCGTGCCTCGCGCAGACAGGTGCGCAGCAGGGCGGCGACACGCTCTGTGTCCTCTCGCCTGTGGCAGTAGATGATGACAGAGTCCAGAGCCCGGAAACGGTCACTCTGCATCAGCGTCACCAGTGCCTATGGGGACGAGGGTCACTGCAGAGAGCTGGGAGGCAGGGCTGCCGCCAGGCCCACACACACATGCTTACCTGGTCTGGGTCCCTGTCCGAGGACACAGAGAGGTGCAGGTTGGCAGGGATGGTAGCTGGCCCTCTGAGCACGGACTCCTCGGTCACGCCCAGGTGCCAGGCCACGTCGAGGGCAGTGCTGCGTGTGGCCGTGGCTGTAAGGCCCAAGAAGCAGTGGACGCCGGTCCGGTCCCGCAGCGTCTGTGAGGGGGCCGTGAGCCAGCACCACCCCCCTGCTCTGCGCACTGTCCCACCCGCCCAGGCTCACCTGACAGGCATGCAGCGGACGCCCGGCCGGTCCCGAGGCGTCTGTGAGGGGGCTGTGAGCCAGCGCCACCCCCTTGCTCTGCACGCTCCCCCACCCGCCCAGGCTCACCTGACAGACACGCAAGTAACAGGGCCGGAAGTTGTGGGACCACTGAGAGAGACAGTGGGCCTCGTCGAGGCAGGCAAAGGCGATCGGCGGCAGCTGAGAGAGGAGGGTGCCAGCACCGGCCCCGACCAGCGCCTCTGGGGATAGCATCAGCACCTGCACTCGGGCTGCACGAGCCTGAGGAGGCCCGCTGGTCAGCAGCAGCACCTGGCTCCGCCCGCTGCTCCGCCCGTCTGGCCCTGGGAGGTCCCCTCACCTTCTGCAGGGCAGAGTCCCGCTGCTTCTTGGTCATCCCCGAGTGAATGCAGGCCCCCTTCAAGCCGGGGGGCAGGCCAGAGAGCTGCAGGGACAGGAGCACAGCCTGTTGCATGCCCTGGCCCTTTCCCAAAGGCCTTCCAGCATGGTTTCACCTGACAACTGCTGGCTCCCTTCCAGGCCCTTTAGGGAGGAGAGGCCAGAGCTGCCTGTGGGCCTTGACTGAGGTGCACTGGGGTCGGGTCCCAGTGGGGGCGCTCCTACCAAGCTGCTCCTCTGGTGGGTGGGACTGGGTCTAAGCAGCCGTGTCCCTGTGCCTTTGGGCCACTGCCAACTTGTGGACAGAGTGGAAAGGGCCTGATAACTTGCAGCTCTGGGGTGGGGGTGGGGCAAGAAACAGCAGCCCAAGTGGGTCGGCAGAGCCATGGATACCAGTCCTTGCCTTTTGCGTGTGTCCACGGGCCCTGTCCACCTACCTGGTCATCCATGAGTGACATGAGAGGAGAAATGACCAGGGTGAGGCAGGGGCTTCGCCGGAAGTAGAGCAGCGCTGGGAGCTGGTAGCACAGGGACTTACCAGCCCCCGTGGGCAGCACCAGCAGGGTGGACACACCTGAGTGTGATCTACAGTCAAGACAGCCGTCCTGCAGCCTGGCCTCATCCCCACCACTCTCCTGCCAGCCAACTCACCAGACAGGATCCGCATGACCACACGCTCCTGCCCAGGGTAGAAGGCTTGGTGCCCCAGTTGCTCCAGGGCCTGAAACACCTCAGCCGGTGTGTCTGTGGACACAGGTGTCAGTCAGCTTTGCTCCGAGTCATCCTAACCCTTCCATCCAGGCCTGGGCTGTTAGGCATCTGCTGACCTGCCACCTGACCCGAGGGCCCCAGTGGGTAGAGTGGAGGCACGGAAAGAGGCGGACAGGGCGTCCTGGACACAGACTGCTCCGTGGGCACCAGCAGTTCAGGCGCCCCAGGCTCAGCGTCTTCTTCATCTGCTGAGAACAGATGAACAGAACAGGAGCCCTGGGCTGGTCTGGCGTCATAGTACCAAGAAAGCAACTTGCTACAGCCTCTCCTCCACCTCTTAACTCACCAGAGAGTCGGCAGCAGGCTGCACCGGTCCTCAGGGACTCTTCCTGTAACGTGGGCTGGGTCTGTGTGCCATTCGCAGCCTTGACATCCTCCTCCTGAGGTGCCAGGAGAGGTTCTGGACCGTAAGCAGGGAATTAGTAGGGCCTTTGCTTGAGCCAGAATTGCCTTCCCAAAGAGCACGACACCCCTGTAAGCAGGTTGGCATCCAGGGCAGAGGCCTCCTCACCAGGCTGAGGGCATCGGGACGCCCAGTGGCTGAGCTGCCCATGCTGGGAGCAAGAATCCTGGGCTGGGGCTCTGGGCTGACCACCCCCAAAACACTCCCCTTTTTTCTGCCACTTCTGCTTCCATGCCTGGTTGGGGACACAAAGAAGGATCACAGGGCAAGCAGCAGGGCAGCTGGGGGGAGCACCTGGTACCACCATCTCACCTGCTTGCGAAGGAGCCTGCCCCGCAGGGCCCGGCCCCGCACATAGCATCGCTGCTTCATGTTGAGCCGCACATAGTTCCCCCTGTCCTGGATAGCAGATCTGGAAGAAATGCACAGGTTGGCAATGCCCACAGCCCTCCCCACACTGGCTCAACTGAGGGCAGCCCTGCTGGGAGGTTAGAGCAGTGATACCTGGAGGCTGGGGTCCTGCCTGGGGGCTGTGCCTTCACAGGCTGCTCTGGACAGTCCTCTACAGGCCCTGCAGCCCCAGCTCCCTCAGGCAGGGGTCCTGCTTGGTCGGTGCCCTGCTGGGTCTGTGCAAGACTTCCCTCCAGGTCCCCACTCCATCTCCGCTTCTTGCCTTGATGATCACCAGGCTGACACTTCCCTGTACTGACACCAGCTGCTGGTAGGGCTGGAACCTCTGTGCCCTGCAAAGGCACCTCACGACCAGCACTGGGGCTGAGAACAGATGCAACAGCTGGAGTCAGAAACTGTGAATCCTTTGCACCCAGGCCAGGCTGGCAGGTCCTGGGAACCTCCAGAAAATCTGGGGTCCTGTTGTGACACCGCTGCAGCCAATCAGGGTCGAGGGAGCCCAGTCGCAGGCTCAGGGATGCCCTCAGCTGCTGGAGCCGGCCTGGCCTCAGCTGGGGCCTGGGAGGCTGAGGGAGCACCTCATTGACATTTTCTGGAAAGATGGGGGCAGCTGCTGTGCCTGGTGGCTCCGGTGAAGGGATCTTGGTGGAGGATCTTTGTGCAAGCCGGGGTATCCAGCCCAGGGTTGACCTAGCCTGGGAGGGAGACAAGCAAGCAGGAACTCAGGCCCTTGGGGTGCTACAGACTCATACGTGCTGAAGGCCCCACCTGTAACAGCTAGGTAAGGTGAGAAGCAAAAGGCTGGGACATAAAGGAAGCTGCGAACAGAGGCTGACCTTGAGCTCCTCTGTGGAGCTGCCCTGGCTGTGTGCGCACAGGTGAACATGACTACCTGTGAGACACTTGACAGGGATGAGTATATGGTAATTCTGCCTCGGGCCACCTGCAGCTCTGGACCCATGCTGGATGCACTGTCTGCCCGGCCCTCACCCCTCACCTGCAGACTGCCCTTTAGGTTGTCCTTAAGCCTCTTCCCATAGTCCTGCGCAGACTCCTGAGGGTTCCACCTTGAGGAAGGACGGGGACTCTGGGTCGCAGCCCGATTCAAGTGATGCCCCCAGCAACTGGGCTCCAACATCTGCAGGAGACAGTTTAGAGACCTAAACCACGGAGAAGCTGGTGTGTGAGGGGGAACCGAGATGTCTACACCCCCGAGAAACCAGAGGAGGGGCTGTCCTTCCTCCACCCTCTCACCCTTTCCCCTCTGCCCCCCGCTCCCGCCGAGCTCTATGCCCCACAGAGGTTGGGTCACGGCTCCTCCCGGCTCCGGCATACAGGGTGTTGACCCAGGGATTGGGATGTCAAGCCCAGGTACCTGCTCGGCCGCCGCGGGAAGCGACTGCTTCGAGCCGTGAGGCTCGACGCTGCCGGCCTGGCCCAGTGCTTCCTTCAGGGAGCGGTACTCTCGGTACAGCGCTGAGAGCGGGGTCGGGGGATCTGAGTTGGAGTCACGATTCCCCTGGGAGGGGGCGTGGAGGCCTCCCGCCCCCGGCCCACTGCCTTGGCCACTCCCTCCGCCCCGCGCCCGCGGGCTCACCGCGGGTCTCCTCGGGCGCCGCTTCCACGTCTTCCTGTAAAGGGAACGCGTCAGGCGGATGCCGCGCCCTCAGCTCCCCGCCCACGGGCAGCCCGCACCTTGCCCGGCCGCCGTCCGCTCCGCCGCCGAAACGCGAGCTCCCACGCCTGCAGCCGCTCCCGCACGTCCCGCAGCCGATCCATGGTGGCCGGAAGCTTGGCACCCCGCGAATTTCCCGCCTAGAGGGCGATGCCGGTCGCCAGCCAATGGGGACGCTCGGCGGCGTTTGAGGCGTAACACCGCGGTGGCCCCTGGGCTGGGGCAGCCAATCCGCGGGGCCCTGCTGCGGCAACCAATGAGGTGCATTAACGACATCGCGGCGCGCGACGGCGCAGGCGGAGCGCGACGTACGGCGAGGCGGGGCCGGTGGCGGTGGCGGCGGCTTGGGTCCGGGTGAGCGCGGGCTACCTGGTGGGGACGGAGCACGGCGGCTTGTTGCTCCTTCTCTGCCTGGCCGCACAAGGAGGGCGCGGACTCTCGGGGCGGCGCCGCCCCGGAGGGGGGGGCGGGGGCGGGAGCCCGGGCGGGGCGGCCGCGGGAAGGGGAAGACCTGCATCGGGTGCCGGGCTGAGCGGCCTCGGGTCCTGGGGGACGAAGCTCCGTCTTCGAGAGGCAGGCCCCGCCGGAGAGACGGACGGCGTCGAATTGACGGGCTCCCGCTGCTGGAGGCCCGGAGGAGCCGTGCGGGGGCTTCTTCAGGGAAACACTGGAGCCGTGGGCCGGTGGGAGGGGGCGGTGGCTACCACGCCGAGACTCCTCCCATAGTGACCACACTGGCTGCTTTCATTTTCTCTCGTGACAGGTGCTCGGTTGGTCTGTCGTCTCACAGCGAGGTATGAATCGTCCTCGCGAGATTTATCCTCAGGCAGAGCGAGACGGAGGGTTGACGTCCCGGGCTTCTCAGGAACCAGCGCCCTTAGGACTTGTGTATGAGGTCCGCAAGAGCTGGGGCTCTGGGGCCAGGCTGCCACCCTTCCCAAGCTCGTTACCTGGGCTGTGACCTTGAAATGGCAACCCACTCCAGTATTCTTGCCTGAAGAATCCCAGAGACAGGAGCCTGGTGGGCTGCCGTCTATGGGGTCGCAAAGAGTCGGACACGACTGACGTGACTTAGCAGCAGCACGTTTTAGTTTCTTAACATTTTCAGGGAAATGGCCCGGAGGCAGTTTTGAGGATGAGGTGCCTGGCACACAGTAAGTCAGCAGCAGAACTGTCACGCACGTACCTTGTGGCCTCAGGCATCTCTTTTGTGCTCCTTGTCAGCTTGGATATACCTTTGACAGCCGCCTCTAAATATCTCAGAAAAGGCCCCTAGTTTGGGGTCTTTGAATCCCATGGGTTTGTTACTTGTTTTCTTATCATGGTTCCCCAGGGAAGAGAGACATTTACACAGGTGGCAAGGACCCTGATGGGTGAGGCATTCTTTCTTTGTAAATCTCCAGGGGTCTCCATGCCTGACAGTGCTTCTGGACGATAGTAGTTAGAACAGGTTGAGGGCTTGGGTTACTGTAGCTCTTCAGACTCAGAGTTCACTGGGTTCTGGTGCTTTCTACTTGTCCTGCTGTTTGTTAAATTGTATCTGTAGTTTCAACTCCTCTTTGCTGTGCTGTGCAGAATCCAAGGGCAGCCTCCAGGAGCTTGTGAGGCGGCTGAGAGAGGGTGCAGTGATGCACCTTCCAGCCCCTGGGATTATCTCATCCTTCTAGTGCTTGGCCAGGGGTGGGGGTGGTGGGTGGGGGTTGGCTTTTTTCTATGTTTAAGAAGGGGGAGATCTCTTGATAAGCGGCTTTGTGATTTGGAAGGCCTGAAAAACAGATGGTGTGCCCGGCAGAGCAGCAGCCATCAAAAGCATACCTACACAGGCTGGTCGTCTCTGGTGCCATTGCTGTTTATATGCTGCTTGGTGGCTTTGTCTCCCTAGAGAGGCCCCCGTTCTTCTCAGGGGCTGGGACGGGGGTGGCCTTTTTCTCCTTTCTCCTTTTTTCAGCCTGTTGCGAAGTATCTGGCACTTGCTTGTCAGAGCCTTGGTTCTCTGCTCTGTGCCAAGCACCAGGCTGAGCTTTCCCACTACCAGCATGGAGGGGGTAGGACTGGAGTCTGTCCTCCCCACTGAAGGGCACCTCCCTGCAGGTGGCCTCCTGCCTGGCCCAGCGCCATGCACACCCTCGTGTTCCTGAGCACACGGCAGGTGCTCCAGTGCCAGCCGGCCGCCTGCCAGGCCCTGCCCTTGCTGCCACGAGAGCTCTTCCCCTTGCTGTTCAAAGTGGCCTTCATGGACAAGAAGACAGTAGTGCTGCGTGAGCTGGTGCACACTTGGCCTTTCCCGCTGCTCAGCTTCCAGCAGCTGCTGCAGGAGTGTGCCCACTGCAGCCGGGCCCTGCTGCAGGAGCGGCCCAGCACAGAGAGCATGCAAGCTGTGATCCTGGGCCTGACTGCCCGACTCCACACCCCGGAGACTGAGGCTGGCACGCAGCCCCTCTGCAGGTAAGGGCTCACTGGAGGGACCTTCACGCCTGGTGCGGGGGATGCAGAGCGGGTCCCCCAAGAGGTTCCAGGTAGTGCAAGAGCTCAGTGCAGAAATAGGCATGTTGCTTCTGTCCCAAGGTGGCTGGGAGTGGGTGTGGGGTCTGTCCCCTTGTCTCCTGCCTCAGCCCACCCATGCTCCCAGGAAGCATGCGCTGCGGGTGCTGGATATGACGGGCCTCCTGGATGACGGCGTGGAGCAGGACCCTGGCACCATGAGCATGTGGGATTGCACGGCAGCTGTGGCCCGCACGTGCATCGCACAGCAGCAGGGCAGGACTGCAGAGCCTGGCCTGGCCCCTGTTCCTGTGGAGGTTCGTGTGGACCTGCGGGTAAACCGGGCTTCCTATGCATTCTTGCGGGAGGCACTCCGCAGCAGCGTAGGCAGCCCGCTGCGGCTCTGCTGTCGGGACCTGCGGGCTGAGGACCTGCCCATGCGCAATACCGTGGCCCTACTGCAGCTTCTGGATGCAGGCTGCTTGCGCCGCGTGGACCTGCGCTTCAACAACTTGGGCCTGCGTGGCCTGTCCGTCATCATCCCACACGTGGCCCGCTTCCAGCACCTGGCCAGCCTGCGGCTGCACTATGTACATGGGGATTCTCGGCAGCCCTCGGTGGATGGTGAGGATAACTTCCGCTACTTTCTGGCCCAGATGGGCCGCTTCACCTGTCTGCGGGAGCTCAGCATGGGCTCCTCTCTCCTCTCAGGGCGGCTGGACCAGCTGCTCAGGTGAGTGGACCCTGCTATGGCCCTGCCTTTCCCTTCCCCTCCAGCAGACCCTCCCCTGGCTCTGCCTATTTGTGACCCCTTATGTTCTCACCCCAGCACCCTGCAGAGCCCCCTGGAGAGCCTGGAGCTAGCCTTCTGTGCCCTGCTGCCTGAGGACCTGCGTTTTCTGGCACGGAGCTCCCATGCTGTCCACCTCAAGAAGTTGGACCTGAGTGGCAACGACCTGTCTGGGAGCCAGCTGGAGCCCTTTCAGGGTCTATTGCAGGCAGCAGCAGCCACACTGTTGCACCTCGAGCTGACCGAGTGCCAGCTTGCTGATACCCAGCTGCTGGCCACACTCCCTGTGCTGACTCGTTGTGCCAGCCTCCGCTACCTCGGCCTCTACGGCAACCCGCTGTCCGTGGCAGGACTCAGGGAGCTACTGCGGGACTCAGTGGTGCAGGCTGAGCTGCGCACAGTGGTGCACCCTTTCCCCGTGGACTGCTATGAGGGCCTGCCCTGGCCCCCGCCTGCCTCTGTCCTCCTGGAAGCCTCTATCAATGAGGAGAAGTTTGCCCGTGTGGAGGCCGAGTTGCACCAGTTGCTATTGGCCTCAGGCCGTGCACACGTGCTCTGGACCACAGACATCTACGGGCGCCTGGCTGCAGACTACTTCAGCCTGTGACCTCCAAGCTCTGGGTGAGAGACTGTCCTGGGGTCCAGGGCTGCTAGAGGCCCCTTGCCCCTTGGGTAGGCAGAGCCTATCCTGGAACCCTGCTGCAGGCCTGACACAATGGCAGTGGCCTGATTTCTTTGCTCCAGGGCTCGCCTTGAGCCTCCCCATGCTTTCTGCAGCACCGTGTGCAGTTTGTCCTGCGCCTGCTCCCCTGGCTGGCTGACCACCTGTGGGCCCACGGGCTGGATTCCAGGCCTACATGGCCCTGCTTGGTTTGGCTGCACTTAGCTGCCTTTCAGTGTCCTGGGGTCTTCAAGCTGAGAGATGATCTTTTCCTCTAGGCCCTCCCCAAGAGCAGATTTCTCTGGGTTGGAAGTTGGGACAGGGGCCTACTTCACAGAGCGTTGGGACCCCAGGCACTCTGGGGCCTCTTACCTCTTCTGGGTTTTGGTGCCAGAGGGTGTCTTAAAAGGTACAAATGTGCAGTGTGCTTAGAACTTAAGTCTGTGACTTTTTTCTGTCCTAATTGGTTAGAGTGACTCGTCTCCTGTTCTGTCATCCCCAGCCTTGTCACTGGGGACCATGTCTTTGGTTTGCTGCCCCTCCGTTTTTCTGGGCATCTCCACAATCTGTCCCCTCTCTCCCACATTTCAGAGATCCAGGCCTACAAAAGGCGGTGGGACCAGAGGCAGACCCGCAGAGGTCGGGTTAATTTGGGAAGTGGGGGGATCATTTCTGGAGGGTCTCAGTGGGGTGTTGGGAGCCTATCCCCGGCACCCTCCGTTCACGTCCCAGGACTTTCATTTGCAGGGGTCCGCAGGTGCTCCCGCCCCACCCCGCGCCGCCCCGCGCTCTAAACCCGCATACACAGCTCGCTACACTGCGCAGCTTCCACCCTTTACTGACCACGCTGGGGCATGTGCTGGACCGACCAATCCGCGCGACCTACGTCATCAGCCCGCGCCCCACCCCTCAGCAGTGGATCTCGTAGGCGGAGGGGGGCTGCAGCGGGAGGCCCTGAGCGACTCCAGGCGCTTCGGCCGCTTCCGCCGGGCCCTCGGCGAAGAGCGGCTTGGAGCGGTCAATCACGAACATCTCGTGGCCCCGCTCGTCGCGGAGCTCCTCGAGCTGCGCGAAGGTGCAGGGCCCGTCGGAGTAGTCGTTGACGAAGAGCGCTCCCTCCCCGGGAGGCCCCGGCGCCTTCTTACGCCTGCGCCGCCGGCGGCAGATCATGGTCGCCAGTAACAGAGCCGTGAGCGCCAGGAGCGCGATGGCAGCCGCGATGGCCGTCTGTGTGGCCAGGCCCAGGGCACGGAAGGCCATGCTCCCCGCCTCGGGCAGGGGCTCGTGACTGACTGGGCCGCCGGCCGGGGGTGGCGCGGGCACCAGCTGCTGCTGCCGGGACACGTTGACCAAGAGCTGAAAGGGTACGCGGGCAGCGCCGCCGGCGTTGGAGGCCTCACACTCGTACTTTCCGGCGTGGGCTAGGGTGATGTTGGTGAGGAAGAGCATGCCGCTGCCGGTGTCGGAGGCCCCGAGACCTCCTGGGCCCCGCCACCCAACTTCTGGCTGGGCCTCAGCGCGGGGCGCGCCCTCGGGAGGCCGCGCCACCTTTCTCCAGGTCACCAGGGGCTGCGGGTAGCCTGAAGCGTGGCAGGCCACCCGCAGGTCTTCACCCAGGTTGGCTGTCACCTCCAGCGGCTCCACATGCACAGACGGTGGGATGCAGATGAGGCTACTTCCAGATACTTCCAGGAGACTCTGAAGTGCCAGGCGCGGGGGCTCTGCACACAGGATCTTCTTGTCCCTGGAGCTGAGCAGTCGCTGGCCTCCTTCCTTGATCCAGGCTCCCAGCCAGTGCAGGGCACAGTCACAGCGCCATGGGTTCTCTGTGGGTAGAGCAGCAGCAGGCATGTAGCTCAGGGGTGGCTCTGCACAGCCTGTGCGGTTGGGGTTGTTGGCAAGAGCAGGAGCCCCTTTCTTACCTAACACTGTGGGGGACCCCTGCCACCTCTCTCTGACGGGGCTCCTTAGAGTGGGCAGCATTCACCCACCCCACACACACACCCCAAACTCCATTCGGTGATGCATGTCCAATTCATTTCACCAGTCTCTTGAGAAAGCTCCTGTTCCTGGCGTCTCTCCCTGCCACAAGTTTTGCTATTTGAGGGGAACCTCTGTGTCCACATAGACATCCCACCAGCACTAAGATCTTGCACATCCTGCCAGCTTTGTCGTCAGGTGCTGTCTGGAGGGAATGTCCCCAGTACTGGTCATGTTTCCGTTTTTTTTTTTTCGTGCAGGCCCTCTCCTGGCTAAAAAATGTAGAGGGTGCTTAGCTCTGTCTGGTTTGTTCATGGCCTTATACATGTTCTGTCTCCCTTAGGCAACTATGACCCTACCCTTGTTCCTAGCAGCTTTCTGTCATGGCTGTGGATAGGTAGTGCTGCCCGCCCCCTAGAGCTGCCACTGGAGCTCTCTCCAGCTGGCTGGCTCCCTACTGCCTCCACTGTGGCCAAGGAAGCTACCTTTGCATGAGAGCCCCTTGCCCCCAGAAAGAGCTACCTGTGAGGCGCAGGACCTGCAGGCTGGCCAGTGGCTGCAGGGCCTCCCGGCTGATGGTGCCCAGCTGGTTCCTGCTGAGGTCCAGCAGTGCCAGTGAGGAGAGCCCAGCCAGGGCCTGGTGCTCCAGCAGCTCAATGCTGTTTTCCTGCAGGTGCAGCTCCTGCAGTCGCTGAAGCAGGGACAGATCATCAGAGAAAGGGGCCCTGGAGGACAGGTCCCCTTCTTACCAGACTAGCCTGGGCTGCCTTTTCTCCCCTTCACTACTCCAGCCCAGTAGGGCAGGTGGCAGTTTAGGAGGACCTCTACCCTTCTTGCACACTCCTCCCACCTCACCTGCAAGTGTAGGAAGGTGAAATCCAGTAGCTGTACCAGCTGGTTGCCAGCTAGGTAGAGCACGCGCAGTTGGGCCAGGCCTGCGAAAGCGCCGACGCGCAAGCCGCGCAGCTGGTTGCCAGTGAGCGCCAGTTCCAGCAGGCGCGACTGCGCACGGAAGGCGCCCGACTCTAGGGCGTGTAGGCTGTTGTTGTGCAGGTAGAGATGGCGCAGGGAGGCGAGGGGCGCCAGGATGCCCGGCTCCAGGCGCGCGATGCTATTGTCCTGCAGGAACAGCGTCTGTGTCGGAGGGAGAGACGGCGCTTACCCCACTGAAAAGGTCTTTCTTTTCCCTAGGGCTCCCCATTCACCCACGGGGAGGCTCACACACCCGTCCCTCCGTTTCGCTGGCACCCCTTGTCCGCAGCCCGGCCGCCCCACACGGTGCCCACCTGCGTCCCGGGTGGGATTCCAGGCGGGACCACGCGCAGCCGCAGAGCACCGCACTCCACCGTGGCGCTGTAGCAGCGGCAGGCGGCGGGGCAGCCGGCAGCGCGAGGCGGGAGACCCGGCAGTAACAGCAGCGACAATAGCAGCAGTGCAGGCGCCCCTGGGGCCATCTCCCGCGGGACCGGCCGCAGGCCACGAACCTGCAGCCTTTTCAGCAGCCTCCCTACAGTCCGGCCCCGATGGGATGCAACTCCTGAAACACAGGTTGGCAGGCCTGTCCCTAACATTTGAGAGCCAGCGAAAAGCATGAATGGAGGCACACACCGTGTCTGCGTTTTGAAGCTTGAAATCAGTTTAAGAAACTGGTAAAATAAAAAAGCCAAAGATCTGGAGCATCAGGTTTCAATTTAGAATTTTTGTTTTCAGAGTCTTGCCACGCAGGCCACAGGAGAGAAGCCTATGCCACCCCAACACTTCTCTCCCCATGCCCCATCTGCCTGGGACTGAAGGGTTTCCTGCTCATGCAAGTGGACACATGAACTGAAGTGCCCTCTACAACCCAACATCCAGTCACTCCTTGGATCTTGGGTGCAAGAGGCTGGTATGGGCTTGGGAACACGTGGGTAAAGTTCAGGGTCAGTCACCAAAGCATGGACTAGAAGGGAAAGAATAGGCTCTGAGCAGACACATCCCCTGGTCTGCATGAACTCACTCTTGAGCACTGGCATGAGACCTCAAGAAACACAGCCCAGACCAGGGGTCCTCTGCGTAACCTCAGGACAGGGCACAAGTCTCCCTGCTGCTAGTGTTTGTCCTTGTCCTCACCTAATTTTGACCCAGAATTTATTCTCGTCATTTTTATCCCTAGAACTCATGCTGTGGCCCCAGCACTCAGATTTTCCTGCTGTGACAAGGACATGGGCACAACTGGTCTCGGGGGGCACCAGCCACAGGAAAATGGAGGCATACTTTTGTCCAGCCTCTGGCCCTGCCCTACTTGGGGTGGGAGTGAGTAGAACAGCTTAGCTATAATTAGAGCTTTTTCTCAGGGAACTTGCCAGGGTATTGGATGAGACAAATAGGAAAGCCACTTCAGCTGTGGGGCCTATGTTCTCCATGCTGACACCTAGAAAGATGCATCCATCTTTGGGGGTAGGTGGGTCCTTGGGATGACTGGGCTGTGAAAGAAGGAACCTTGGGTCACCAACTGAGTTTCTAGGGTAGTTTGCCAAGTAGGTTCTGTGCTCAGTGACCTCCTGGACTTTGAAGGAGTGTGTAGTGTTTTGTTTTGGGGGTTATACACATGCAGCTGTGATCCTAGAAAGAGACCTGAGTCTAGTTCAAGGCACAATGAGTCCAGCTGGATGGTGGGGCTGAGGTGTGCCATCAGCTAGCCTCCACTTCAAATGGTCTCTGCTCTGAACACCTGCCTGTTGACCAGGTCTCCTACTAGGAAGAGTGTGTCATGTGAAAAGTTACCAAGTGGCCTTAGTGTTTATTTAAATCTTGCTCTAAATTTAACTCACATGGTTATTTAAAATTACTGAAGAGAAGCAGGCACAGTGAAAGTTTTAATGTAATTGCTTTGGTCTAGGCAGAGGCAATTTCCAGATGTCTCAGAATGTGTGTGAACCCCAAGAAGTTGGGGGGGATTCTCAGCCCCTGGGACCCACTTCCATCAGCAAAAGGGCTGGCCTAGGGTGCCCACCCAGCTTTCAGTGGCAGGGCCTCTCAGAAGATTCTTGGCCTCCTCTTAAGGACTTAAGAGGATTGCTGCTCCCGTGGACACCCCATAGATGTTGATACGTGTGGAAGAGCTGGCCTGGGCATGGTTGAGGACTCAAGTAGGAAGAGGTCAGAAATACTTTAACCCAGCGGAAACCCTCCTAATCTGACTGGGTAGGAGGTGGGGTGTAACATACTGGATTTGGCAACAGCTGTCAGTCTCCAGGGGGCCCATCTGTGCGAGGAGGGCTGAGTGAAGAGATAATGGAGGAAGCCCCGCTTCGCTCTTCCACGCAGTGCAAGGCCCGAACCTTGATCTCCCGAGGCGCCCCCTGCATCCCCTCCGGCGCGGTCTGTCCAGGGCAGGGCGTGGTCCCCGTCAGGTCGCACGCCCTTCTCGGTAGTCGCCAGAGACAGAGCCGGGATGGTCCCTGATCCCGCCCCATGCCCGCTGACCTTGGGCCGGGCGCCCCCTCACCTGACGCTCCCGCGGCGCGGCTCCCCCGCCGAACCCCGGCCCACAGAGCAGCACCCAGCGGGCGAGGGACGGGCGCCGCTCGGGCTCGCGCACTGGAGCCCCCGCGCCTCCCGCCCGGCCGTCCCAATCCGCCGTCGCGAGCGCCGGGCAGACCAGAGGACGAAAACGCCCCAGGCCGGGGATGTGTGGAGGGAGTAGGGCCCCCGAGACCCCGCCCCTGCCGGCGTCGGGACACGGTCCGCGGCGCCACCTCGGACAGCGCCGGCGGGGCGGGGCCGCGGCGCACCTTCGCCGCGCACGCGCACTCGGCCAGCGCGCTCTCCGGGTGGCGCGTGCGCAGCGAGGCGGCCCGGGGCGCCGCGGGTGCCAGCGACTGCTGGCCCACGGTTCAGGGCGGCGGGGCAGCAGGCAGGAGCGGGGCCAGGTCCATGGTGAGTGCGAAACGGCGGCCCTGCCAGCGCACGTGCGAAGGCAGCTCGGGCGCGCCTGGCGCGTACTCGAAGCAAGCGCTGAGCTCGAAGGCCAGGGCCGATCGCACCAGGCCCACGCCGCCCGCGCGCTCCGGCGCTGGGTGGTAGAGACGCCCATTCGTGGCCAGCGGCAGCAGGCGCGCAGGCTCGAAGGGCACAGACAGGGCCTCGCCGCCGCCGCAGTAGGAGAGGCGCTGGAGCGCGGGGCCCGCGGCCAGCAGGTGCGTGAAGACCACGGGCCGGTCTTCGCAGCGTAGGAAGTTGCGTTCCCTGCCGCAGAGCGAGAGGAAGGGGAAGGAGGCCTCGTAGCGCCCGCTGCGGTTGGGTGTCAGGCGGGAGAAAAACATGACCAGGAACTGCGGGTCTGTGGGAAGGAGGGGGAAAGGGCGTGACTGCTCAGGACGCCAGACCCCGAGTCCCCCGGACCCTATTGCCCCAGGCAGGCGGCTTGCCCTGGGTCACACCAAGGGCTTGCACTGGCTGTCGGACAGCCGCCTAGGCCTCACTTTAGTTAGCGGGCTTTTAAGCACAGTACGGCCAGCCTCCTAATGCGGGCAGGACGGCTGGCAGGTTGGGCAGCGCGAACCCTTAAGAGCCTTTCCCGAAGGAAGAGGGAAGGTGGGGTTGGAAGGAGTATCGGTACCTTTGAAGCAAGTGGTGAAGTTCTTCATTCTGGAGTCGTCCAGGAAAAGCTGCGGAGAAGCAGACCGTGACCCTTGAGTAGCAGCCCGAGAGAGCTGTCACAGGGCGAGAAGGCGCTGGTGGGCCTGAGCCCGGGCTGATGTCCGCTTTCTTTGCTCGTCTGTGCACACCATGTGCAGGGAGGCGCGTGGAAGATAAACCTGGGAGCCCTGCCGACCTCCCCACATCTATCCCGCGCCCCCCGCCTTACTTCCTCAAGCACAGATTCTCTCAGCTGGCAGGCCCTTCCCGCGCCTCTTCCCCCCTCCCTTCTAGTTTCTAATGAGATGTGCCACTTCCTCCGCAGAGCTCTCTGAGTTGTTTCCTTATGTGTATGGTGGATGCCACCGCCAGGGCTTCCAAATCAGGCGCGGCGGCGTGGAACGCAGGACTGGGGGATGCAAAGCCCGCAGGGCGCAGCCACGAGTGGGGCGTTGTCCGCTGGGAGCCTAACCCTTTGGGGCCATAGCCGCGCGTCCCAGTGTTTCCAGCGCGACCCGGGAGGCCGGGTTGCCTTACTGTAAAGACCCCGCCCCCGCCCACCTGGCCCTGATGATCCACATAGTAAAAGTACTCGCGCGTCCGAGGCTCTGGGCTCTGGCCCTGCGTGTAGGAGACTCCCCCGCCCCCAGCGTAGGTCCGGGCTCCCGGGGACCGGGCCAAGATTAGAGCCCAAGGCCGCAGCACCCCGCTCATCGTCCACATCCTCCTCCAGCGCCGGAAACGGCCGGAGGTCATGCGGGGCAGGTGCTGTGGGAACACCGGTCCCCCGGCGGTCATGGCCTCGTGCTTTGGGTTCCGTCGGCGGCCACGGAGCTCGGCCCATGCCCACCCCCACCTCCTTCCTCTCTCCTCCCAACCCCAGGCGTTCCCGACACTCTCCCTTCTCTGTGGCACGCCGCCCAGCGTTGCGGCTGGGGAAAAGGGCGGCGGGCGGAATCTCCCGACGTTTGTCTTCTAGTATGAGACGCAGGTGCGGTCGGTTTCGGGAACAGGGACATCGGTTGGGCCTGGACTTCGCCGGGCATGCAGGCCCTGTCCCTCCTCCCGCAGAGACTGGCTGTCTTCACGTGAGCCAGGTACGTGCAGTGTACCCCCACCCTCAGGAAGCCGGCCCGGCGAGGCAGCCTGCAAGTGAGGGTGGCAGCTAAGACAGGTGGTGAATAAACACCGCCCAGAAAGCCTATGCCAGCTTGGGCCGTAAGATGGGTCAGAACCCGGCCTGCGGTCCCCACCCCACCCTCAGGCAATCAAGCAGAGCTTACGGGCTCAAGTGGAGTATCTCAGGTGCCTCGCCCCATCCCCAGGAGGTAACTTCCTCTCCTCCCCGAACCCCTCCCTGCTCCCCCTATTCTCCCTTGACCTTACATCCATCCTGGTGCCCACACCGGCAACCGACTGGCTGCTGATAGCTGCCTCTCTGCCACTGGAAGGAATGGGAGGCGACAGACTCGCAAGTGTCCACACGTACTTTATTCACATAAAGTGTTTTCATCTCTCGAGTCCATGCGTCAGAGCGAGTCTTTGGCCGGGCTGCCGGTACCCAAGCCTCGAGACCACCGGACCGAGGACCTTCTCCCAGGGGGACACCGGGCCTCGGCAGGGCTGGGCTTTTTTGTTTTTAATAATAAATAAAAACTCAACTCTAAAAAAAATATATATATAAACTGGGGGTAAATTAGGTTTTACAATGATTGGAACTCAAAATTCCAAAATGGAAAATGTACAGAGTCTAGGTACCTCCGCCTCCCTATCCTCACCCTGCCGGCACGCGCTCTGGCCTCGAGGAAGGACAGTCTCTGGTTCCCCTCTGGTGTCCCGCTCTGGGCTCCTGCCCTCTCATCTGCTGCAGGTCTTGGACGGGGGTAGGGCAGGATTCACTTTTTGGTCAAAGCCAAGAAGGTGGAGAAGAAAATGAAGGAAAGATAGCAACTTGTCTGCAGAGGATGGGGGAGGACGACTCAGAAATAAATAGCATTTGGGTTAAGATTATGTCATTAGCAAATTTAGTTCTTGTATCTTTCGCTCTATTTATATCTCTATACACAGGCGGGTTGGGATGCGGGATAGATTCTGAATTTATAGTTACACGAAGAAAAAATATTCTCGCCCCTCCCCCACCCTGCCCCAAGAATGCCTGCCCAACCCTGCCCCCCACCCCGGAGGACTTTGGCTTGGAGGCTCCTTCCCGCCCAGAGAGCCTACTGGGCCCTGGACCGGCCGGACTCTGCTCTGGTGGTGGACAGCCCAGAGCCCTGGAGACAACCAAATTCCTGTGCAGTCACCACGCTGAAGCCACAGGAGGCGGGGAGTAGGGTAGAGGGGAGGGAGAAATTGGGGAGGGTGAAAGTCGCAGACCAGAAGACCCCCAGGTCAGAGGGAGGGCAGAGGAAGGGAGGGGTAGCCGGGCTGGGCCCGGGCCGGGACCAGGCTGAGCGCAGCACCCCAGCGAGACGGCTTGCCCCAGGGAGGGCGGCTTGTGCTCTCGGGCCGGCCGGGAGGGGCAGTGTCACTTGGCTCCAGGAAACAGAAGGCACTTTCTCGCGGCCGACCAGCGGCTGGCGATGGGCGGGGCCGCGCCTAATGAACCAGCCTGAGGCCGGGGGCGGGGCGGAGGCGCCCTTCCCTCCGCCCCTCAGCCCCGGCTGCGCCTTCAGGCGGAGGGCCCAGGTAGGGGAGATGGGGGTTCCAGGGCTGGGGCGGGCATGGGCGGAGCCGGCATGCTACCTCCGCGTCTGGGGCATCCCCTCCCCCCTCCCCGCGTGCCCCCCTGCCCAGGCGCACCCGGGCAGGCTCTGTCCCCACCCTCGGTCCCTTGGTGCCCACGCGCTATAGCACGCCCTCCATGAAGCTGGTGTCCAGGTGCTGGATGAGCACGCGCAGGAAAGACATCTCCTTGCGAGTGTTCTCAAAGATGACCCGTGGGTCATCTGAGCGGCAGCGCAGGCAGTTGGGCGCCATCACCATGGCCAGGTTGCTGACGTCCATCTTGGTGATGGCCACATTGGCAGGCTGCACGAACACCTGCGGGGGAGCGGCAGGTGGGCCCGAGCCAGGCACAGAGAGGGCGGGGCATGGAGGGGGCGGTGCGGAGGGGCGGGGTGCCACCGCCTACCTGGAGGAAGCGGATGAGGTAGCACAGCACCAGGCGGTTGATGCGGGGCAGCGCGTGCACCACGGCCACGGCGGCCTCCGGGCTCTCGTAGTGCGCGATGCACTGCTCATAGAACTCGTGCGGGATCAGGGGCTCCTCCAGCTCCCGGTACCACAGCTTCAGCAGCGACGCTGGGAACGCAGTGCGGGGTGTTCAGCCGTGCGGGGCCATCGGGGACCAGCAGCAGCAAGGGGTGAACGGGGCCGTGGGGGGCGGTGTGTGTGTGTTGGCGCCGAGGGGGCAGGACCAGACTGGAGGTGTCCACACAGAGGTGTGTGCTGCCTGGCTGGAAGCCAGTGGGCTCCTAGTCCTGACTGCCAGGACTGACCCCGAGCGTGGGGACACTGTCCTGAAGGACATGCAAATGTTCTAGAGAGGACTTATCAAGAGGGCTGTGCGGCCACTGTGAGCAATGGAGACTGACCAACGGCAGCAGATCTCTGCACTGGAAATGGATCAGAGGGCTGCCCCTTCTCCATGGGAAGGGCTGAACCATTCAAGCTGCTCCTGCTGCTGAGGGGGCTGGGGGCTCACCTGGGACGTGGGGGTCCTCCAGGCCTGTAGGCACCTTCCACTGGTCCACTTGTAGCTTCAGGGCATTCACTTCATCGATGTCCCCAGGTACTCTGCCAAGCACATGGCAGGTCTCAGGGAGGAGGAGCTGGGCTTGCTCCAGGTCAGGGCTTCATAACCCCTCTCTGCCTGAATGACCTCCTTCCTACCGGAGGGGAGGTGTGGCTGGGGTCCCCTGCCCCAGGCCCTCATCCTGCTGCTGACTACCCCCATGCAGATCCCTTTCTCGGAATGATCCCTGAGGCCCAAACCCACAAGCTTGTTTCCCCACCTGTCCTGGGCAGGTGAGTCATGCCGGCAGGTGACTGGCCATGTGCCACCCCCTTGGGGCAGGTATCATCTCCACTCACAGGTGAGGACCCTTTGCTTAGAGTTGCTGCATCTTTCCAGACCCTGCTGTTGTCCAAGTGCCCTCTGGGGCCCTGGTGACCATTTCTGCAGGATCACTGTCCCAGACCAGCTCCCCTGCCTGGGTTCGGGCATGATGTAGTTCAGGGGGAACAGTCCTGTGCCCAGCCACTCCATTTGCTCCAAGGTGCCTCTCTCCAGCATGCTGGCCTCTCGGAAGTGCTCCTCTGAGGCAGGGACCCAGTGCCCAGTGGCCCTGACTGCCCAAGACTGGTGGAGACACCCAAGGCTCCCACACCCAGGGCCCAGGCTGCAGGGCACCTGAAGATGCCTTCCGTCTGGTCACCGTTGAGTGCGAGCACCTCCTCTGACAGCCGGGTCTGCACCCAGGGCAGCTGCCGATCAGGGTAGCGCTCCTTCTGCATGCTCATGACCTCCTGCAGCGCGCTGCCAAACATGGACGGGCTGAAGACCGCGTTCTTGGCATGTCGGATCTCCTCCACGTTGGGCTTCTTCAGCCCCTGCAAAGGCAGCCCAGCACTCTGTGCCAGTGTGGCCAAGCACCCAGCCCTCTGTCTCCTGACACCCCAGCAAGGCCTACCCTGGTTCACCCGCCTCTCCTGTGAGCTCCAGGCCTCTGCCTAGCCAGAGCCAGGGTACCCCAACTCTCTGGCCCCCAAGTCAACATGGCGGCTTCCTTCTGGGCCACCTACAGCACCAGAAGCTCCAAGTGGCGCCCTATACCCTGTGAGCCATTCATTTCACCACCTGCCCCCTTCCCAAGTCTGCAGCCCCACCTCCCGCTGGACTCTGTCTGGGCCTCACGAGCACAGGGTGCCCACCCACCTCTGCCCGGCGGTGCAGGGAGTTCATACCTTCTTGGCCCCGGTCAGGGCTGCCTTCTGCAGCTTGTGGTAACAGTACTTGGCATATGTGCTTATTGCCACCCCTAGAAAAGAATGGTACACTTGGCTTGGTGTGGACATGTAAGAGCAGAGGCTGCAGGCCAACCAGTGACTAAGAGAGTAAGCAGCAAGAGGGGCGAGGAAAGGTGGCTCTTGCAAGAACGTGGGCACCCAGGGCCTTACTCTCCTGGGCTGTGCTTTGAAGTAAACCTATGTGGAAGGGAAGGAGGCACCACCCTCTCCTCCAGAGGAGCCAGACTGCAGAAGGAAGCCCTCTGCCAACCCACCCAACCCTCCCCCTAGCAAGTAAGGGCAGTCTGGGGGTGCAGTGTTTCCCTGGAGAAGTGGCAGGCCAGATAGGGCAGGGCCTGGGGAGCCCCCGAGAAGGGGGATTTCTGTGTGCAGCAGGCCTGCGAGCACTCGGCACCCACTGCCCAGGGCCACACAGGACGGAGGTCTGGGTTGGCTGGACTGCAGGCCTTCTTGTAGCCCTGATTCCAGCGGGAGGCCCTGGGCAGCCCAGGCAGAGGCCTTAGCCCGCAGGATCCCATGCCCATGTGGCTGAAGGCTGCCTGGGCGGGAGTCAGGGAGGGGGAGGCGCAAGGCCTGGCCCATGTGGGAGGGGGATAGTGTGGAGTGGATGCCCCAAGTCCTGAACCTGAGTTTCACTGGGAGGGCAATGCTGAGGAAGAACCACTCAGGACTCTGCCTAACTGCTGAAGGTG